TGAACAAATATCGGGAACTTATTGATTCATGGGCTTACGCCACACCGCCGACCCCTTGGGATATTTGGGAAGGCCTTGGGGGGGGTGGTGGTGGGGGGGGGGGGGGGGGGGGGGGGGGGGGGGGGGGTCGTGCAGCATTAACAACCTGGCTCTCGCTATCTCGCGCGGGGCCTTTCTCTTGTGCACTGCCCCCCCATGTCGCCGCGCTAAGTTGCCGCTGCTTGCTCCGGCCTCGCATCAGGTCCACCCTCAGCAACTTTGTACGTTTGTATGTACTAATGATCGTCTCTCTCTCTCTCTCTTTCTCTCTCTCTCTCTCTCTCTCTCTCTCTCTATATATATATATATACCTATACATAATCATATGTGTATATACACAGAACATGCAATCGTATATTGTACACACGCGCGTACATAACATGGGCAGGCATGCGTGCACAGAGGTGGCACTGCGCGGTGCCATTCGACAGCGTGTCTTTGGGCTCAAGAATTTGCTCGTGGGGTGTTCATTCGGCGCCAGCGACAGCGGATGATGATGAGGCGCCAGCGACATCATCATCCGCTTGAAGGCGTCTTGGAGGCGTCTTGGGCCGTCTGGGAGCGGGTTTGGGTGGCTCTGGGGCCGTCCAGGAGCGGGGGACACCCCAAAAGGCGCACGTGTGTAAATAGATACGTCTGGCGAAGGAAACGAGCAATTTTTTGCGTCTAGAGGCCCTCTTGGGGCGCATCGTGGATGCCTCTTGGGGCGTCTCGGGGGCCTCATCAGCCGTTTGGAGGCCGTCGTTAGCGTTTTGGATCGCTTTTGGACCGTCGAGGACCATGTGGAGCTCTCTTCGAGGCCACTCGGACCGCTCCTGGAGCGCTCTCGGGGCCGTTGTCGGAACCCTTTTTCTGGACCGTCTTGGACGTCTGTTGGCCCGTTTTGGGGCCCTCGAGGGCTGTGTAGGAACCTTCTTGGAGACGTCTTGGGCCGTCTGGGAGCGGATTTGGGGGGCTCTGGGGCCGTCCAGGAGCGGGGAAGACCCCCAAAGGCGCACGTGTGAAAACATATACGTTTTACGAAGGAAACGAGCGATTTGTTGCGTCTAGAGGGCCTCTTGGGGGGAATCTTGGATGCTTCTGGGGGCGTCATGGGAGGCCTTTTGAGCCGTCGGGAGGCCGTCGTCGATGTTTCTGATCTCTCTTGGACCGTCTGGGACCATGTGGAGCTTTGTGGATGCAACTCCCCCCCCCTTCCAAATGGACCGGACCGGGCTCCCGGGGGAGGGGTTTGGGGAGGGGGAACATCTCACACGCCGATGAACCCCAAGGGGTCGGCGGATTTTACTATCTCCGGGGCCTTTCGAAATGTTCTTTGAACCCTCCTGGGCCGTCTTGGGCGTCTCGTGGGCTGCATTGGGACCAACTTTGGCCATCTTGAGGACTTCCTGGGCGACTGCTGGCCGCTGCGGGAGCGATCTTTCGGGGAATGTTCGAGATGTCTTGTTGACTTCCCCCTCTTGGGACGCTCGCGGGAACTTCGTGAGCCTTCTCGGGGGACTTCTTTGGCTGACTTGGGCCGATCTTGGTGGCCCCTTGGGCCATCTAGGGCGGTCGACAACTCGCAAAGGCGGCGCCGCCAAACTCGTCAGACAGCCATGCGAAATCAATGTTTTTGACAGCTTCGGGGCGTCTCGAAGTCCTCTTGAACCCTGCTAGGGCGTCGCGGGCGTTTCGTGGGCTGTCTTGGAACCAAATTAGGCCATCTTGAGGGTGTCTTGGGCGCCTGCTGGCGGCTGCGGCGGCGAACTTTCGGGGAAGGCTCGATATGTTGGGTCGAGTTGCCCCTCTTGGGGCGCTCGCGGGAACTGCGGGAACCCTCTGGGAAGACCCCGTGGGCTTGCTTGGGGATCTTTTTAGGGCCGTCTTGGGCTGTCCTGGGGGTCTCCTAGGCAGACGCAGGGTGATCTTGGTGGCCTCGTGGGCCGCCCAGGGCAGCTGCAGCTCGGAAAGATTGTGCCGCCAGACTCGTCAGAAAACCATGCGAGAGTAATCATTAGGGCGAGGGGGCCGAACGGTCATTCGCTGTCCCTGGGTGCGTGGCCGAATAAACAAATCGTGGTGAGAATTGTAATTGTTGCGTTGTTGTTGTTGTTGTTGTTGTTGTTGTTGTTGATGCTGTTGTTATTGTCGTTGGTGTTGTTGTTGATGATGATGATTATGATGATGATGCTGATAATGATGATGATGATGTTGTTGTTGTTGCTGCTGCTGTTGTTGGTGTTGTTGTTGCTGTTTTGTTGGTGATGGTTTTTGTGTTGGTTTTGTTGTTTGTGGTGTTGTTGTTGGTAGTGGTAGTGTTAGTGTTGTCGGTGTTGGTGTTGTTGTTGTTGTTGCTGCTGGTGTTGTTGTTGTTGCTGTTGCTGTTGTTGTTGTTGTTGTTATTGTTGTTGTTTGTTGTCGTCGTCCCACCCGCGACCCACCCGCAACCCCACCCCCGACCCACCCCGCGACCCACCCCGCGACCAAAACCGCGATTCACCCCGCGACCCACCCGCGACCCAACCCCGCGACCCACCCCGCGACCCACCCGCGACCCAGCCGCGACCCACCCGCGACCCACCCCGCGACCCACCCGCGACCCACCCCGCGACCCATCCGCGACCCATCCGCGACACACCCGCGACCCACCCCGCGACCCACCCGCGACCCACCCGCGACCCACCCGCGACCCACCCCGCGACCCACCCTCAAGGGAGGAAAAGCCACTCGGACCCGACAGTTGACGTTTGCTAAACGGCCCTGGGCGTTCACGAAACAGTTCTGCCCTGTTCGATCCATTCCTCGTTTGCGTGTACTAAACGGCTTCGCTTGTAGGGATGATTATTTTGGGGTGGACTTTCTGCCCTCGACATCTGCGACCCACCCGCGACCCATTTTCGGCCCACTCTCGACCCATCCGCGACTGGGCTCGTTGTATGATTCGTTGTCCGCGCCTGCGGCGGGCTTCTCCAGAGTCTCGCGAACTGCCGACGTCCCAACCGCCCCCTCACTCTTATCCGCATCTACGGGGGTGCTACGTAGGTATTGCGTCTTCGGGGCGCTTTGAAGCCCTCTGCGAACCCTCATGGGGCGTCTTGGGCGTTCCTTGGGTCGTGTTCGGCCCAACTTGGACCGTCCAGGGAGGTCGGGAGCCCGAAGAGGCGGTACCGCCAACATCGTCAGAACAAATACCGTGAATTCAATGATTTTGCTATCTCCGGGGCCTCTCGAAATCCTCTTGGAACCCTCCTGGGGCGTCTTGGGCGCTTCGTGGGCTGGGGACCAACTCGGGCCATCTTGAGGGCTTCCTGGGCGCCTGCTGGCGGCCGCGGGAGCGAACTTTTGGGGAAGGCCCGATGTGTCGAGTTTCTCTTCTTCGTGCGCTCGCGGCCGCTTCGGGAGCTCTGGGAGACCTCGTGGGTCGTCTCGCGGTTCTTCCGGGCCGTCTCCGGCCCGTTCTGCGTGTCTCCTGGGCTGCCTTTGGGCGACCTTGGTAGCCTCTTGAGGCCATAGCCCTGCCACCCATGTGGCGCTTCATTGGGACTCTCCCGGGCACCCGAGGCCGCGCCCAGGAGTTCCGGCATCTCTGATCTGGACCTGCCTGGACATGGTCCTCCTCCTCCTCCTCCTCCTCCTCCTCCTCCTCCTCCTCTCCTCCTCCTCCTCCTCCTCCTCCTCCTCCTCCTCCTCCTCCTCCTCCTCCCTCTCCCCTCCTCCTCCTCCTCCTCCTCCTCCTCCTCCTCCTCCTCCTCCAGGAACTTGCTGGGGGATCTAGCTGGTGCACTTTTCGTCCGGGGACTCCCAGGGGTCGCCACGCGCGGGGGCGAATTACAAACATTTGAAAACTCTCTTTGGAGAGTTCAGCACGCCTCTGGACCGTTGGGCCGGCAAGTGAAAACGTGGTGAACACGCAATACCAAGAAAATGGGGGAGCAAAAAAAACGCGGGCAGGTGGGCCACTGATTTGGAAACGTGACAGAACACGGTGCCGACGACACACACACACACACACACACACACACACACACACAAAAAAAAAAACGATCTCCCAAAGGGACAAAAACGCCATCAGCGTGTTTAGTGACATCTAAGGTTGCGAAGCCTCAAACCCCGACGTGGTGCTCCTTCGTCGCAGCGTGGCTCCCCGGACTTCTGGAGCCCTTCTCCTGAGCCGGCTCATCATCCCGAGTCGTTCTCTGACGATCCCCGGGCCGGGGAGGGCCCGGCGAGGGCCCTGGGAGGCCAAAAACTACCACGATTCCCCGTTGTGGCCTTTGTGTCATGACCCGCGGGGGTCCGGGCAACCTCGACTCACCAAGCCTCGAGCCTCGCCCCGCTCCCGGCGGCCCTCGCCGCTCTGGCAGCACGCCTGCCGCCCGGCGCGGGGCAGAGGAGGGCGTAGACCGCTCGGGTGTCCTTTCCACTGCCGCCCCGTCGTCGGTTCCCCCCTCTCCAGGCTCATGCCCTCGTCGCCCATACGTCCGATGTCCTGGCCTTTGAAGCGGGCCACCCCCCCGGAAGTCCCGACCCTTTCCCCGCGGACCAGCTTGTCCTCCCGAGTCGTCGGTTGACGCTCTAAGGACCCAGCGAGGGCTCCCAGAGAACGAAAACGGAAACCCTGCCCGCTGATTTGTTTCAAGGCGTTGGATCTGTGGATCGCGTCCTCGTGAGGCCTCCCAAATGGGGTCCAAGTAGATGGGGTCGGCGCGGTCGACGCATCGGCGACGGTTGCGACGTACCGGCGACGTCGGCGTGGAGAGAGTCGGGCCCCACATGGAGCCGCACCGCCGATGCATCAGCTACTCGAACCCTCTCTGGGGAGGCCTCTCCGCATCGTCCTTGTCGCGTCCTCGTCGTCGGTGCGTCCTCTTCGTCCTCCGTCCCCATCTGCTCGGACCCCATCGGCGTCGTGTGCTCGATCGTCGTCGTCCTCCGAGTCCTGCCGCCCACGGCCCGCCCCGCGCGGCCCACGGCCGCAGGCGGAGGTGCCCGCGGCGCACGGCCGGCTCGGCGAGAGCCTGTGCCCCCGCCGAAGGGGGCCTGCGCGTGGAGAGCGCCGGAGCGCCGGACGGGCGCAAGCTCAGAGGCGAACAATGGGGTCGAATAGTTCAGGGGAGAGCAATACATGTATCTCAGGGCTGGACAGAACCCCCAACAGTGACACGTCGATTAGTGAATTGTCCGTTTTCGGTTCTCGAGAGGGCGCCGTGGCCGTTATTTTCCAGGCTTGCGCCCGCCAGGTTTGGGCCCGAGGTCGTTTTCACTAAACCACGTTTTACTAAAGGGAGGTCTGTCCATCCCCGAGTATCCAGGTGCGCCGATGAACTACGCTTTCGAAAAGGCTCCCGGGCGAATACGTGTAATGCCCGCCCCTGGGCTATATTCGCCTTTCTCGTCGCCGCCGACGAGCGGTCGCTGGGCAACCACACATTCAGGCAGTGGCGAACCGTGCTGGCTCGCCCATGGGCCCACCAAATAATGCTTCAATAACCTTTTGAGGTTTCCACGGAATGTTCTTAGAGCATTTCTGTCTGGGACAGTCTTGGTTTGACACATCAGTTTTATGTTCTAAGAACCTGGTCTTTATTTTTCGAACACTTTGGGCTCTAAGAACATGTCGCGGTAGCCCTATAGGAATGCCGGGACGGTCAGTTCCTGCTCAACACATGAGACGACCCCCACAAGTTCTATAGTATATGAAGAGTCCTGGGATCGAGTGTCGAGACTCCCTCCGTGGCTTCCTGGCACCGGGATGTTCTCCAGCAGCTGTGCCTCGCCGAGGGCGTTCCGGGACCGCCCAGATCGTCCCGAACGGCCGCCGGGGAGCCGAGTTGCGACCCAGAAGCCAAGGGGGGCGGTCGGGCGAGGGTCTGCGGATGGCCGGGCGGTCGGTCAGGGGATCTCTGGGCAGCCACACGTGAAACGCTGCTCGCGCCGTGGCGAAATTCAGCACGGGAGGTGTTTCTCTTTTTTCCGGCCTCTGGGGGCCTTCGCCGACGGTCAGAAAACGACCCGGCATGGAGAACCTGGGGAACGTGTCGGGACTTCCGGGGGCCGCGTGTTGAACACACCAAACGTCGCACGATTGGGTTCTCGTAGCGTCGGCCCCGGAATGAGAACGGGAGGGCCCCCCCGCCGTCCTCTCCCAGCAGGGGGAGCAGCGCTCCTGGCGCGAAAGAGGGATTGTTAACTACAGTATTCCCCCCTCGGCATTCTAACCCCGAGCCGCCGGCGCTTCAGCCTGCGATGAATTCGCGTGATGGTGATGTCGTGGACGCGGCTCGGGATACCGTTGGAATCTCGAAGTAACATGTGTTGAGTTCGTGGCCCTGTGGCTTGCGCATAGTTATTGGGCTCACGTCAAGGGCCTGTGTTCCGAAGAGTCGAAAGAAGTTGACGTCTCTTCCTCGGAGGGGGGCCCCTCGGACCGCGTAAGGTCGCTGTTTCTTCTTGCGTACGACAAGTTTTGTTTTCGTCGCTCACCTGAGCCCAGGCCTACCTGTGCAGGTCGGATTTCTGAAACGATTGGCCTGTGCTCGGAGATCGAATGGTGTTTGTAGCCGAGCGCGCCCCAGCGAGGGTGCACGATACACGGCGCCGATGGGGTTGGGTAAGGTTCGCAGGTGGTCGCAGTCAAGTGGGGCGCGCATGCCAGCAGGGCAGGGCTCTGAGGCCGGAGCGGCGGGGAATTGGGAGGATCAGGAGCAACGTGAGGGGGGACATAGGCTGCGGGGGGGGTGTATCGATCCCCGAGCATCCGTTCATCGCCGATAGGGGCCCGATACACTAGCCCACCCCGACCAGGACCGTGTAGGTTCGCCACCAGGGCTTATCGCTGATCCGTCGGCGATGTATCGCCGATTTCAGGTTGATGCTTCCCCCCGGTGCTGGCCCCCTGTCCCGAACGTTGCCCCTCAGGGTTTGGAGGATGAGATGCGAGGTTATCAAGGTTATCGGGTTTCAAGGTTTGCGGGCGCCTATGTCGGTTCTCGGCTTTCTTCTGGCCTCGGGATGCCTTCCAGCAGCCGCGCTTCGCCGAGAGGATACAGTGGGTGCACGAGTTGTCCTGAAGGTCTGCCAGACTCCCGAATGATGGCCCGAGCGACGCCGATCCTCCACGGATATCCTCGTGTCGTGCCAGGATCACGACGGAAATTTCTGGGCCAGTTCCGCTTTGGGGGCCCTCACCCGGCCCTGGGGCCGTCAAAAACGACTTGGGATGTAAAGCCAGTGAAGAGAGGTCCGCACTTGTGGGGGGACAACTTGGAAAGATTAGGACGTTCGGATGATTGGGGAGGGGGGGAGGGAAGCAAAGGAGGGCGTCGTAACGATGCAGAGAAGGACTACAAAGGGGGAGTGGATGACGGAAGGTGTCATGAAAGAGGGTTTGTACGCAGACGGAGGAGGAACAGGAGGGACGAGGGGGGAGTAGTATGAGAAAGAGGAAAAGGAGGAGGAGGATGAGGAGGACGACGACGACAACGACAAAGGGGGACGGTGGGACAAGAAGGAGAGTTAGGGGAGGGAGGCAGGGAGGAAGGGAGGGAGGGCAGGAGGGAGGAGGGGGGGAGGAGGAGGAGGAGGAGAAGGGGGAGGAGGAGAGGGAGAATTGGTAGCAATTCTGGTTCAAGCGGCTTTTGAGTTTGGAGCCCCTGGTTCAACCTTCGGAGTTTCTCTGCGGCCTGCGTTCGCCTGCAGGTGAGCAGCTCCTCTCTGCGCATTCCCTGATATTCCCCAGTTTTGCTGGCGGCACGATAACGCTGGCAGGGATAATCTCGTGTTGCACGTTGGTCGCATCCTTCCTTTGGCCATGTCGGGATCGAAACGTGTGCGACGAGGTTCCCGCATCGCTGTCGGCCATGGGCTCACTGTTACTCACGTCGGCGCGGTGGCCGAGGGGGCAGAGCTAATGGGGTACCTGAACCAGCAGAGGGCAGTGGACTTGCTTCTTGCTCCCAGGAAGCAAGAAGAAGCTGAGTTCGAAGAAGAAACCAGTTCATGTGGGATCGATGGCGGAGTGCCGCAGGGCGACCTGGCCTTGGCACTTGCTGCGGCCGCCCAGCAGGTTCTCACGCTCACCAATAAGCAAGTGAAGATCGAAGGGGAGGCTCGCAAGTCCCTCGGCACAGCGTTGCGGGCGAAACAGGTTCGGCATCAGGTCTCCAAGCAGCCCGAGCTGTTGCGAGATCTTCAACAGACCAGCGATGGTGCAGGTGCGTTCAGACATGGACAGCACTTCGGCACAAGTGCTCTTCTTTCTTGGCTGTGTAGGCGGCGAGTGTGGGCTGCAAGCTGAAGCCGCAGATGAGCAACCGACCCCGGGCTTGACGGTCGCGGAGCACTTTGACATTTCGTCCACTGAAGGCTCGGGGGAGGAGAGGTCTGATTACTTAAGTGAGAGGCAGGGTTCTATTGTTGGCCAGGGTAATCCCGAACTTGGCATGGAGGCCATCAGGGGCACCAAATCGATTCTTATCGACGTTCAAGGGGATATTCTTAATTTGGATGGGCGTGTAGAGCACATTGAGACGCAGTGTGGCGTCTCCACGGCCACGAGTTCAGCTCGTTCCGCCAGAGGAGAGCAGAACACCTCCAACGAGTTAGATTGTCAGAAATTGGGTCATTCCGCATTTGGGCGGAAGGAGGGCATTGATGACTGTGATTGCAAAGATACCCCGAACGTGTCCGCTGAAGAGAAGTGCGCCGAGCCGAAGCAGGAGGCCCATGCGGTGTCCCAGGCCTTTGACGAGAAATCGCCCGACGATCAACACGGGCTCGACATAATGCCTGATTTGGTGCACCGAGCGCTTGAGGATAACTACGGCTCAAGCGAATGCAACGCCATGTTGGACACAGGTTGCAGCACTGTGGCGAAGGGTCCACAACTCCTCGACGTGGCGCCGCTGACTAGGGACATTGGGCGGGACACCACGACTACAACTGGCACGCCGGGCTCGATCGAAGCGACATCCCACATCGACGCCAATGGCATCACGATTGTGTCAAGTACCAGTTCTATGCGGAAGGCGCAGCTGGCCCAGGATCCTTTCACCTGTGTGCGTCGCCACAGTGCCTGGAACATCGTGTCTTCATTCTTGCCCAAACCTGCAGTTGTCAGGGTGAAGTGTTACATGTGTGGGATCCAATGTGCAAAAAAAAAACATACAATTCTCTTTCCTGCGAGAGCTGGGCCCACGCATGACACGTGAATTTCGGAGTTGCTCAGCCAGAAGCATGTGTATATATAGGGTGGGGCACTGAGCGAGCGTATTCTTGTCGTATCGGCGCAGAGGTCTTTAGCCCAGTGCAGTGCCTCCCTCGCCCATCCCCCTTCGTGTTTCGTCCATCTTTCATTCCATCAAATTCCACATAGCACCTCTGCCTCCCAGCTTCTTTGGGGTCCATCGCTGCTGTACCTGGCAGCAGATGTTAACAGGTGGGCTCGTGACGGCGGGTGGGGGATGAGGATAGTTGGTGTTGGGGGGAAACATCAAACTTCCATAACCTAGGGTGCTGCGGCGTTGGCCAACCTCGAGGCTGGACATGATGCTTTCAAAAATGGACAGGGCGCGTAGTCCCAGGAGCTGGTTCTGAGCAGTGCAGTCGCATCAGTGCCTCCCTCCCTGTGTTCCTCCGTTACACATCCTCCCTCCGATCGCCCCTTCCCTACCCCATTTACCCGGCACCATCTGTGCAGATCCGCGTACGAGGATTGGGGAACGGGGATGTGGATGTTGGGGAGTTGTGAGTTGCGTGAAGGAGTGAGCAAGGGCGGCTCGTGGCGCTTACAGAGCGTCCAGTGCGTGCGAGCAGCCCCCTATCCATGTGTCAATATTTCTTATGAAAATTGCCCGAGGTCTCAGGTAGTGGCAGAGAGCAGCAGCATGTGGAAATTTATTGTTAGGACCGACAGGGTCGTCCCATCGCCTGTTTCCCACCTGCACTCTCCTCCCCTCGCCCAAGAATTGGGTCGGCCCTTGTTTTTTCCTTGAGGAGGCGGGGGGGCTGAGAAGTTTGAGTATGATGTGTGGTTGTGCGTGCGTGCGCGGTGCGCTGTGTGCATGGGAGAAGGAGTGGAGGACGCTCCCAGACCTCCACCGCTCGTTCGCGACAGCCGCGCATTCAAGCGGACCTGAGCCCAGTGCTTCTAGGGGGGGGGGGGGGCCAATAAAATAAATGAACTTGTGGTTTTATTGTATGTGGGCACCCCTCCTTTTCCTCTCTTGCGCGGGAGGCGCAGCTGTGGATTGACAGCAGGAGTTGGGTTGGGCCGTGCTGTCTCTGCTTTGTCCTCCTCTCTTTCTCTTTCTCTCGTTCTCGTTTTTTTGTTATCTCTCTCTCTCTCTCTCTCTCCATCATCCTCCCCCGTCGCGCCTTGAGCGGTGTGCAGCTTGCTGTAGCTCGAGTTCGGCGCGCAGGACTGTTTAGTGCGTGTGAGGAGGAGGAGGAGGAGGAGGAGGAGGAGGAGGAGGGGAGGACGCAGACAGCACCGGGGGCGGGAGGGAGGAACGGAGGAGGAGAATCGACTCGAATGCTGGAAAAGAGGGGAGGAGGAGGAACATGGGTGAGGAGGAGGAGGAGGAGGAGAAGGAGGATGCATCTTGCCGTTCTTGTGTCTCTGAGATCATGGTCAGAGCCCGTTCCAGGACTGGTCCGGCACAGAGAGGCCCCCAGAAGACCGAACATGGAAACACCTTCCGCCATGTTTTTTTCCCAGCCATCCTGTGGTGTTGGGTCCTCGTTTTGAAGAGACGGTGCCCCGCGTTCTCCTTCCTCCCCCCGCTGCCCCCTCCCTCCTGCATCATCATCATCATCATCACCATCATCATCATCATCATCATCATCATCATCATCATCATCATCATATCATCATCATTCCTCTCCTCTCCTCTCCTCTCTCTTCTCCTCTCCTCTTCACCCACCCAGTACACTGTTTCGTGGCTCCATAGGGAGCTCCACCGAAGGCCCCACATGCGTCACCCACACCCATTTCGGCACACCCCTCACACGTTTCGTGGCTCCATAGGGAGCTCCACCGAAGGCCCCAGTGCCCGCGGCCGCATGCGTCACCCACACCCATTTCGGCACACCCCTCACACGTTTCGTGGCTCCATAGGGAGCTCCACCGAAGGCCCCAGTGCCCGCGGCCGCATGCGTCACCCACACCCATTTCGGCACACCCCTCACACGTTTCGTGGCTCCATAGGGAGCTCCACCGAAGGCCCCAGTGCCCGCGGCCGCATGCGTCCCCCACACCCATTTCGGCACACCCCTCACACGTTTCGTGGCTCCATAGGGAGCTCCACCGAAGGCCCCAGTGCCCGCGGCCGCATGCGTCACCCACACCCATTTCGGCACACCCCTCACACGTTTCGTGGCTCCATAGGGAGCTCCACCGAAGGCCCCAGTGCCCGCGGCCGCATGCGTCACCCACACCCATTTCGGCACACCCCTCACACGTTTCGTGGCTCCATAGGGAGCTCCACCGAAGGCCTCAGTGCCGCCGCCCGCATGCGTCACCCCCACCCATTTCGGCACACCCCCCGCATTTCTCGCACGGCAGGGTCATCACCACGGTGGCGTGCCAGGGGCGCACCATGCGCGAAGGCGACGGGGCGGGGGAACGGCGCTCCAGGGGCGGCCAGACCTCCGGGGCGCGAGCAGTCCGCGGCCAGACCATCTCTCGGTCCTGTGGACTCTCGCCCTGGGCCGTCGGCTGCCCGGCGCGCTGCTCCCTCGGTCGTCGTCGCCCAGGCGTGATCCTGGATTGCGGCCGCCACGAGGTAGGGAACGGCAAGAAGGAGGACGACGACTGGTGGCTGGAGCTCTACGTGCTGCTCTCGCGCGCCACGCGCCACGAGGACCTCCTGCTCATGCGGGCGCCGCGCATCGAGTTCTTCCTGGCAGGGCCGCCGCAGGGCTTGCGGAAGCAGCTGGAGCAGTTTGCGGCGCGCACGAAGCGGCGCAGGAGGGAAGCGACGGCCCTCGCCAGGGAGCTCGGCTTCACCGAGTTCATCCGCGAGGCCTGACCTGAGGAGCGTCTCCCCCGAGCCGCGCCTTCTCTCGACTGCCCGACTAATTGTTTGGCCTCGCGCCGCGGACGACCCGCGCGCGTCGCTGGGACCCTCTCGGGGCGACCAGCGCGCGTCGCGGGAACTCCGTGCTGCGGGGGGCCCGGCGCCTCGTTCGCCCGTCGTCGCTCTGCCCAGCGGTCAGAGACTTGCCCGCTATCAGCCAGCCAGTTAGCTAGTCAGCTCTCTCTGCTTCGCGCAGCGGACGACCCGCGCGCGTCGCTGGGACCCCGCCCGGGGCGACCAGCGCGCGTCGCGGGGACTCCGCGCTGCGCTGCGCCCGCAGCCTTGGATTTTGGAGTGCGCGGGCAAAGAGGAAGGAAAAGAAGAGCCGAAAGCGGGCGCGATCCTCGCAAGAGGCGTGCCGACATGGGCGTCGCGACGTGCGGACGCTGCCGTCGGGGTTCCCGCGGAAGCTGCCTGCGGCGGCCACGCCCAGTGCCACGTGTGTTCGGACAGGCATGCTCGACACTTACACTAGGCGTTTCCATGATCGCACTCATGCAAATATATTCACTCGCGCGCAGACCCATTCATACTCAGATTCCCTCGCGCTCTGACTCACCCGCGTTCTTTCTCTCGTAATCAGATCTATCGTATTCCTTTGCGTTGTGTACCCCGCCACATTTCGGCACACCCCTCGTGCGGTTCGTGGCCCCATAGGGAGCGCCACCGAAGAATATACTCACAATTGCGATACTCACAACTGCATATGGTTGGGTCTTTCGCCAGGATAATTTCACGACGCGATGCCACGCTAGATTCGGAGCCCTGAGAACAGCTGGATGGCGTAGATGTTTCAGAACACTCGCCCCCCGGAGGCCCATATTGAGCCTCAGGACCCACCGAAAGACACAATCCACGGCGCAAAATTGCAAACGACCCACGGGTTGGGTTGGAGGGAGTGTTCCAGAGCTCCTGCACGCGTTGAACATTTAGGACTTGCGGTCTGGGTTCGGGTTTCGGGATCGCCATTCGTCCAGGGCAAGAAAAAAACAACCCGATCCCCATACCAGGCGTTTGCTCAGCGGTCCTGGTCAGCGCTTCGTGTTTAGCTATGTTTTTGTTATACGACGGCGATTGCATGGACCTCTGTTGGTGCACGAGACGGTCCGAACGAGGCTCTCGCTGATGCGGCGGGAAGGGTTGGCCAGGATGGTCACGTAGGTTGTTTGGGTTTTCAGGGTATCCGAAAGAACCCGCAGGGGGTTCCCAGGATGCTCCGAAGAAGTCAGAAGGATCGCGTGAGGAATCCTTCCTTCACATCAACCAGGAGGTACGCTTGCTCCATCATGATCACGTGTCCTCTTTGGCACTATTCCTAGGCGGCCTGATCTCAGCCCAGGCTTCCTTCATCCTCCCTACTTTTTCTCTGGGCCACCTCGATACTCCTCCTAGTCGAACTCGTCCTTCCTCCTCCTCTTCCTCCTCTTTCTCCGCCTCCTCCTCTTCAACCCTCCCTTCATCTCGTCATCATCCTCATTACCCCTTGCTCGTCATCCCTCCTTCAGCATTGTCCATTTTCCTTTCCCTTCTCCACCTACGCCCCCATCCACGTCCTTGATATCCTCTTCTTTTCCTCCACGGCTTTGCACTCCACCTCATCTCTTTCCCCTCGCCCTTCTCATCCTGCTTCCTCCTCCACCCTAATCCTCGTCATCCTCCTTCTGCTCATCGTCAGCCTCCGCCCTCCTCGTCCTCCTCCCCGTCTCTCCACTTCTACTCCATGGCTGAGTCTTCCTCCTGCCTCCTCTCCTCGCTCCCCTGCCACCGCTCCTGGCGGTGTTGTGGCATCTGGGGGGGGGAGCATCTGAGGGGGGCGTGGCGACTGTGCTGGAGGGCGCCTTGCCACCCGTCGCGTGTCGTGGGAATTGCGGGCTGCCCCGCTCATCTCGCCCACCCGGCGGGGGGGCCGCGCGGGGGGGGGGGTACGCCTGGCCGCTCGTCGCCCGTCGCGGGGCCTGCGGGCTACCCCGCTCTCCTTGCCCATCTTGCCCGCCTCAGCGCCTACCCGCCCTCGCTCCAGGCGGATCCGGGGCGCCGGGTGGGGGGGGGGGCGGTGGCGGGGGGCTTGGGGGCATGGCGGGGGGATCGCCTCGCCACCTCCGTTGAAGGGCTTGTAGGCCATTCGACCTGCCAGAAGGACTGCCTAGAATATACAGTTGAGTCGGGCATTACAGGGGAAAATTCCAGAAACGTTGCAGAATAATGTGGGGACGATGTTTCGACTTTTTTGTTTGATCATCTTCGGGTATGTTTGGAATATGTTTGCATCTTCTCTTCCAAAATCCGCCTGCAGGAGGACATGCCCGACCTAAGTCTACATGCTTGGGCGTATGAAGGGACGGGCTGGGTGGGGCTTCCCACCAAGCTTGCCGAGTGCGTGGCCGCGTTGCCACAAGCATCGTCCTTCTCTGGCCTCTCTTCGCCTCGTCTATTCCCCCTCCTCTTCCTTTCTATTCGTAGTTGGATGACGTAACTGATTGCGCCTGTGCATCACAAGCTATAGGTTTGGCGGGACATAGGAGCTATGGGCTAGCCAGTCTGGTCTCGCAGTTGGGAGGGTCGAGCGCGGTGTCCACCCTTTTATGGTGGCCCGCGCGGTGCTGGAAGTATCGCCCAGGATCTGCAGACCTGGGCATCTGGAGGGGCTGGCTTGTGGAGCGCGTGGCCGCCTTGCCATACACAGCTTCGTCCTTCTCCGTTCTCTCGTCTCCTCGGCTCTTACCTCTCCTTCACTTTCTGTGCGTACGCTCCCCCGTAACTCCTCATCCGCCGCCCTGCCGGTTGAGGTGTTGGCACCGAGACTATCTCCGCACGTTCTGTCGTATTCATCGTACGGGTCTCGGGCCGGGTTGGCTCTCTGATCCTTCCGCTCTCGCACGGCGGTTGCGAAACGCTATGGTATGTGCTGGCGTGGTGCTGAGTGCTGTTCGGGGTCTCTCCCCTTGTCGAGGCGTGGGGGCCGAGGGGGGGATGGGGGCGGGCGCAGCTGGCGGCGGCGGAGAGCCAGGCTCGCGCTGTGGTCCGCGGTGCGAGAGATCTCCAGCGAGCTGGCTTCGTGCGGCGTCGGCGGAGGAGGTCCGCGGCCAGATGGGGGAGGAGGAGGGGAGAGGAGAGGACGGACGTTTTTTACACTCGGGCTGCGGTATAAGATCGAGGTCGGTTCGGGGAGGGTGCCCTAATGTTCTTCGTGCTCGTCGGATGTTCCCTTGCATCCTGGGGAGGACACCCCTGGATGTTCTGTGTGTTTTGGCCGACGGAGGGTCTCATGCTCTTGAAGGAATGTTCTCCTGGCCTAGATCCGACGGTTGGAGGATCGCGCCGCATCGCCGAATCATCGGCGGTGCAGCTCCATGTGGAGCCGGATGTTCTCCACAGCAGCGTCGCCGATGCATCGCCGGCGTCGCCGATTCATCGTTGATGCATCGTTGATGCATCGGCGCTGCATCGCCACTGAGGCGCATCGAGGTGCGAGCTTCGAGGTCCGCGGAAGGAGGAGGCAGAAGAGGAGGCGAGCAACGTCGAGGTTCGAAGATCGAGGATGGAGGGAAGCAGGTAAGGAGGAAGGAGGAAGGAGGATCGAGGATGCAGGATCGAGTTCCGCGAGAAGGAGGGAAGAGGAAGCATGTTCGAGGTTCGAGGATCGGCGTGCTGTGAGTTCGTGCTGCAAGGTTTGGCTGCTACCATGGGGGCTTCGCGTTGCCGAAGCCGGATTCCCATCGAAGTCCTAGCTCCATGGGGAAGTCCAGGTGTCTCCCATGCTTCAGCCACGCGCAGAGGGGGGTAGTGGGAGGGGGGAAGGCTTATTAGAAGCACCCCTGCTTCTGCTTCTTAGAAGGCGCGGCCCTTGTCTGTGGATGGTAGGGCTGGTGCCTTCTAGGAAGCAGCCTCCTTCTAAGAAGTCTTCCCCCCTCCCCCTACCCCCTTGTGCACGCCGCCAAGAGGTGGATCCTGGCCCCCTGGAGACTCTAAGAGAACTCACGCGCAGATCGAGGGCCATGTTCGGTTTCTTGGAGGCCGCTCTTAGGCCCCGGGGCCGCCAAAGCACACCCCGTGACAAGGAATGGGCCCCAAGGAAACTGTCGAGAGCCCTTTGGGACCCGCGCCGCGACAGAGTTATGACGTGGAAGGTATGGGTTCGAATTGTTCAGCGCTACGTGGATGCAGCCAGGCGCAGCGTACCTTACGTCGAATGGTTCAGCGACAGCACCAGATCTGGCTAGAATGCTTGCGCTACCCATAGATTGAGCCTCGCTGGCCTATCTGTGCACATGCTCCCGAGAGTGAAAGGGAGACTGTGATAGATGTCAGTGCCAGAGTCGGGAACTTGTTGTACTCACTGAGGATGATTGACTCATGTCTTCAGTTTTCCCTCCTGCACCCATTTCATCTCAAAGGCTCCTTTGTTCTCGGGGGTCATCCAGCAGGCACGCCCGACGCCCGCTTGCGAGCAAGCCAGTTGCAGGGATGCAGCCGAGGAGCGTAGAAAGAAACGGAACAGGCATGAGAAGCATCGAGATGCATTTATATATATATATATATATATATATTAGATGGATTGGGGCGAGCGTGCTTCGGTTTCGGTGATTCGGCTTTTGAAGATCTCGATCTGCGCTAAAGTTTGAAGGACATCAGTGAATATTCAAGATGTGGGAGGTTTCTCCCGTGCCCTCTGGCGCAGCAGAGCCCATCGCAAGCATTGCGATTGCCGTTCGGAGTTGTAGGGACTTTTCATGAGTTGGCATCATACGTATGCGCAAGTATATGCATTCTTCTGCATGTGTATATATATATATATGCTGTATAACTAGCTGGGTCTCGGGCCCGGAACCCGCCACCTTGGGAACATCTAGGCATATTGGTTCATACCCCCACCAAGTTCGCTTGCAGGAGGCCCCCAAGACGAATCGTGAAGGTCTCCAGATTGTTTAAGGTGGGCCAAGAGGAGCCCCAAGTAAACCAAGATTGCCTCCAAGGCGGCAAAAGAGGGCCCATGATGGCTCAGGAGTGCTGCAAGGATACATCCAAGAGGCCTCGAAACCCCAGTGGCTATGGAACGTCTCGCGGAAACCAGGGAGGCGCCAACATTACGGGCAATTCTATGATGTTTGCTCTCTCGCCTTTTTCGCCTCCGATGGGCCACATGAGGCACCAGATGGTCCCAAAATGACCCAGCAGAGATTCAAGAGGAGCCCCACACGGCCCCAGGACAGCCCCAAGGGCACCCAAGAACTCCCCAAGACGATCCCGAGAGGGCTTCAGAAACGTCCAGGGTGGCCCCAATAGATCCAGGGAGGCCCGAACCACCTGTTCTGCTGCGTTTGCGGGGGAAGGTGGGGTGTTTCATAGGTCTGGCGACGGGTGACGGCACACGACGACGACGACGACGACGACGACGACGGTGAGGACGGCTTCGATGACGACGATGGCGACGAACGCGACGACGGACGAAGAAGATTCTCTCAATCAGCCCAATCGCGGCTAGTGGAATCAGCCTGCTTGCCACTGCCGATCCCAAAACCCGTTGGCTGGTATAGTTTTTTGACATGCGTTCTGGATTTCGCTGTCCAAGAGCACACTTGCATAATACAGGGGGTCCGTATACATATCTAAAGGCTGCCGCCTCTGCCGCCGACCCATACCGAGCGACTGTCGGGAATCGTGGGGGGTGAGAGTGACTCAGGTTAGCGGTTGGTAGATTGGGAGTGGTGAAAACGATTATCCAGTAGCAGAAGAATGGGATTGGGCAGGGACTCGCGATAGACCAGTGGCGCCGGAGCTGTCCTTATTAGTTTGGGCCCTGAGGTGCCGCGTGTGAGGCGGCATGGTCGGTCTCGCCTGAGACGTTCCTGCAATTATGGGCTTGGATATGCCGCGCTAGAGATAGCTCGCCCTATTGCGCTGCGACATCTTCGCCGTGGTCCTGAGGCGGCGTCGGCTTGATTCCTTATCGCAGTTGTGGGCCTCGACGCACGCGAGAGGTCCACTTAGCATCTCCTCCCGCACCTTCGCAACTCAGGGCTCCAGAGACCGTTGGCGCGCACGACACGTAGCCACTATCAAGGTTGTGCTAAGGGCCCAGGACGCACAGGCGGGGCACGCGTGCGAGTACTGTACGAAGCGGCAGCCAATGGCCTTCCACGAAGTCCGCGAGTGTTGAAAAGGCATCGACAAGCATGGTCGGCAACTGCGCGGAGAGCAGACGAACCGTATCGGGACACGCATAGCAACCCGCATAATGAGCGACGCGCACGGCAATGGCATCGTTCGCCGTCAGGTGGAGTGTGCGATCTTGCGGGCCTACGCGCGGGAGGGCGACGCCACGGCTGCGGAGTCGATACATATTTGTGCGACAACAGCTTTCTACGGACGCGGGTACGTGGAAATGGTCGAACGCCTGTCGGACGGCACAACGGTCGGGCGGAAGGCGCAGTTTGCGGAAGTGGAAATGCGGGGCCCAAGGCGTCGGAAATTGACCACCCGAGGCGTGGCCATTCTGCGCGGACTTCACCCGTCGCGGGGCGATATGTGGCGCCTGTCGCCGTGCGAATGTACCGCGTCTTGGACTCTTGTTCTTGACTCGTTGCCCACGAATATGAAGGACGCGACAGGTGGCCTTGACGGGCGTCGCGCTTTCTCGACGGAGCGAGGCGCGGGGATGGTGAAAGAGAATGCGCAGTATAAGCAGCAGGCGTTTGATCTGAAGCCCTGGGAGGACTACATGGTGAAAGGCGACGCAGGAGAAGATTGGGCAGCCTTTCCACAGAGTGACGGGCGCAGACATTTCCACAGAGTGATTGGTGCCGCGCGGCCGCCGTGGAGAAGCGGGGCGCCCCCCGCGCGTCGCAATGTCGCACTTCCACCCGTGGACTACGCGGCAGGACGAGGCGGGCGAACACGCGGTGCTTGGGGGGGCATTGCGTGGAGACGCGACGACTTGGGGGGCGCCCTGGCGTCGCGGTTAGATGGCGGGATGCAATCGGAAGAAGCCGCGCGCTACGCGGGCGATTACTTCCCAGGGCGCGCATCGGATGCGCTCGAGAGATGCGGGCCAGGAAGATGCGCGTAGCGACGAGGACGTGAGCGACGAAGAACTGGAGATTGGGTTCGACCATTTGGACGAGTCTCTGAAATCGCGCGTCGGCGGCCGGGAAAGGGCAGGCGGCGACGGAGATGGCAGTAGCGGTGAAGGAGACAGTTCCGCGGCGGGAGGTTTGGCAGGGTGTTTCCATTGCGAGAACTCGAAGGCTGGCATGTCCGTGACACGGGCCGCGCGGGGCCAGCGCCCTAGCGAGGCGCCGCTCAGCGCGGCGTGCGATCCGCGGCCCGCAGGCGCGAGGTGCGATCTAGATGGCGCGCTGCGGGCAGCGAGGGCGTCCAGGAACAAGGGGGCGCCCGTGGCCGGCAGGGCGGCGGCGGAGGACGAGGGAAGGTAGCGTTGCAAGCAGGGGCGGCCTCAGCTCAGGTGGCAGAGTGGATTGAGAATATGGGGTGCAGGACGGACACAAACACAGGGCGGCGCGTTGTCAACGAGAAGCAGTGCGACATGGCGAAGCAAGTCGTGAAAAGGGCCACGCAGGGAAGTAGCGGGGGGGGGCGCGAGGGCGCCCGGAGATGGGTGGGCCGTTGCGTTGGTGCATGCACGGGGGGCCCGGCACAGGAAGGTCGCACGTGCCGCGCATTCTACGGAGGGAGTTATTCGACGATTTAATGCAATGGACGATTGGGGTGCATTTTCAGATCACGGCCTTCCAGGGAGTCACGGCGCATCCCCGCCGTCAAACGCGGCAATGAGCTGGGGGGAGCTGCGAAACCGCAGTGCGAAACCGCGAAGCGGGTGCTGCAGTGCATGCTTAGCGCCTGACTTCAGGCCGAAGTGGACCAGGAACTCCGCTGCGTGATTCGCGACGCGGGCGCGCAGAAGCTCGGCGATGGCGGAGTCCCGGGATCGTTCGGCGGTTTGAATGCGGTGCTCAGCGGGGACTCTTCGTAGTTGTCGCCACTGGGCGGAGGGTTCCTCGCGGGCGCCCCCGCAGAGCGCATTTCGGCAGCTCGGAAATGTACGTCGCCCCCTCTCAGTGCTGCATGGACAAGCGCTGCTGTGGGGCGGTGGCGAGGACGGGGTGCAGGGAGTGACGGAGCTCGAAGTGCGCGAGCGGTGCGATGACGCCTGGCTCGCATCTGTGCAGGAGGAGTTTCGCAGGGGGGCGTTGACGGAGGATGCGCGCATTCCTGCGCGGGCGAGATACAAGTGCCCCTGGCAGTTGGCTCAACGGACAGGCAAGATGCGGAAAATACGACATGCAAAGCGCTCTGCGACGGCGTGGGGGCCCCGCAGGAAAAGGCAGTTGGGGCACGTCGGTGTCGCTCAGTGACACCGCAGGGCATCCGTCGGCGGGAATGTCGGGAATGCAAGCAAGAGCGGGAACGACGACGCCTCGTCATGAACGGTCCCGACGACCCGCGTGAACACGCGGCGAAGTTTCGGTGCGCTCCTGGAGTCTTCCCCAACAGTGACGTCAAGTACGAGGTCAACAAGCTCCGCGCGTCGCAGCATGCCCGCGCGCAAGAGAAACTGATGGCGCACGTGCCCGCGCGCGACACTCCCACGCCAGACGCGCTCCGGGAACGGCCAGATCTACCACTGCAAAAGATGGCCTGTCTGCAGCGCCATAACAAAAAAAAAAGCGGGGTTATGTGCGGATTCTTGCCGGTCGCGGAAGGCATGCCCGTGGCCCTCGCAGATCACGCGGACCGCAGCGAGGACAAGCACCTTCTCCGAGGACGTGTTGGGGCCGTGCATTCGTGGATGTGTGATGGCGACGAAGGGTCTGGCTGCGTCTCGCGCGGCGGTGGGACCATATTGCAGACGGCGCCCAAAGTGCTTTTCGTCCTCTTCGATGCGGGGCTTGATACGGAAGGGATCTAAATCCCGTGCAAGTGGAGGTTACCAGGATTGGCGACGCCTCGTCTGCACCCAGTGACTCCGCAGAAGAAGGATTTGTTCGTGGGCGAGGGGCGCCCGCGTCCGCGTTTGAAAGTGAAGCGGCAGCAGTTCCCCTTGGCGCGAGCGTTTGGAGTGACGGCCCACTCGGCACAGGGCCAAACATTCAAGCAAGGGGTCGTCGTCGACCTGGGAATAGGAGGGGGTACGTCGCCGTCGTCGAGTTACGTGGCCCTGACGCGCGTGCGACGGCGGGAGGACGCGTTGATCTTCCGGCCCTTCGACCGAGCGCCGCGCACCCAGGGCGAGCGGAAGGGGCCTGCGTTGCTGTTGCGAGCATTCCGAGGGGAGAGCCTGGATTGTGGGATGCTATCGAGAAAGGGTTCATGCCTGCGGGGCGGTGCGCGCTGCGCACGTCAGTGAATTACAAGAACCAGTATGCTCTGGGGCAGTGGAGTCGCGATGACGGCCCCCGGGTGCGTTGCCTGTGCCTGGAAGGCAAGAAGAGCGCGGGCACTCCGTGGCAGCGCGTGGAGCGCGGTCTCTGCAAAGGCCAGGATGCTTTCCACGCTTCCCAGCAACGCTCGTCAAAGTTGACATCGAGGCGCTGTGCCGACGGCCCCGAGAGACGGAAATGCCGCGTTTGCGATGTTCGCAAATGCGAGGACGCGTTCGCTCGGTACGAGTAGGACCTCGCAGAGAACAGCCAGTGTAAAGGGGGGATGTGCGCAGAGGGCGAAGAAGAGCTGAAGAAGCACCTGAAGTGTTCCCGCTGCGGCCAGGAGAAGTTGATGGTCGAATTTGCCAAGACGGGTAGGAACGCCGAGGAGCGGAAGTGCAAGACGCAAGAGGAGGAAAGACAGCGCACCGAGGAAGCAAAAAAGGCGGCGTGCTCCAAATGTGGGGAGTCGAAGAGTAAGGGTACGTTTTCTGCGCGCATGTTGAGGAACGCGACCGATGCGCCGATTGCGCGTGCCAAGTGCGTCGACGCTGCGGCTGCGCAACGGGGCATGGCGGCGGGGAAGGGCGCGAGGGCTTGCGTTGTGTGCGAGGTGGCGCAGCGGCGTGGCTGTTTTTCGAAGTGGGAGGGCGCGGCCGATCGAGGCCGCGAGCGCAAGCGCTGCGTCGACGCCGCGGCTGCGCGACGGGACATGGCGGCGAGGAAGGACGCGCGGGGCTGCGTTGTGCGCGGGGTGGCGCAGAGGCGCGAACGCGTTGCGGAGCGGGCGCGGGAGGGCGTGGCCGATAGAGACCGCCGGCGCAAGCGCTTTGTCGACGCCGCGGCTGCGCGACGGGACATGGCAGCGAGGGAGGACGTGCGGGGCTGCGTTGTGTGCGGGGTGGCGAGGAGGCTTGACTGTTTTTCGGAGTGGATGTGGGAGGGCGTGGCCGATCGAGACCGCGAGCGCAAGCGCTGCGTCGACGCCGGGGCTGGGCGACGGGACGTGGCGGCGAGGAAGGGCGCGCGGGGCTGCGTTGTGCGCGGGGCTGCACAGCGGCGTGATTTTTTTCTGTGAGGGGGGGGGGGCGCTGCCGATCGAGGCCGCAAGTGCAAGCGCTGCGTTGACGGCGCGAAGCTGCGGCGCGGACGTTGGAAATGCACGCGCGGCTTGCGAGGTCGTTTTCGGGGGGGGGGGGGGGGGGGGGCGGAATTCAGCAGATTGCTGGCAAATCTGACGCCGCAGAAGTCGAGCGGGAAGCAGAGGCGCAACAAGTGCTTCGACGAAGAAAAGCGCGAAAGAAAATAAGTCGCTGAGCGCGAGTTCAGAGAGCCGTTGCCAAGGGGAGGGGGGGGGGGGGGGGGGGGGGGGGGGGGGGGGGGCAAGGAGAGCGGCGCGGGTCGGCTTGAAGCGAGAAGTTGTAGGTGGGGGGCGCCAAGAACAGAGATGCCGCGGGCGGGGGGTGCCGTGGCCAGGAGGGGGGCCAGGGGAGCAGCGCGGGTCGGTGATTACTGGGCGAGAAACTGTACGTTGGGAGGTTTCAAAAACAGAGATGCCGCGGGTTGGATGCGCCGTGGTCAGGAGGGGGGGCAGGGGAGCAGCGCGGATCGGTTCTGGGCGGAAGAGTGCAAGGTGGGGGGCCCAAAGAACAGAGATGCCGCGGGTTGGGGGTGCCGTGGCCAGGAGGGGGGCCAGTCGGGAGGCGCGGGTTGGTTCTGGGCGCGAAATTGCGGGGTGGGCGAGAACGCGTAGGATGGGAGGGGGGCTTCAAGGACAGAGACTGTGGGTAGGGGGGGCCGTGGCCAGGAGATCAGCCAGGAGGGAAGCGGGTGTCGGTTCTGGACAGGAAATTCTATGGTGGGGGGGCCTCAAGAACAGAGATGCAGTGGGCTGGGTGCGCCGTGGCCAGGAGGAGGGCCAGGAGGGGGGCGCGGGCCGGTTCTGGGCGAGAATGGTAAGTTGGGGCGCTCCAGGAGTTGGGCGACACATTGCCAGGCGGTGGGGGGTGGGGTGGGGGGGGGGGGCAAGAACATAGACTGTGGTTCGGGTGGTGCCGCGGCCAGGAGGGGGGCCAGGAGCGGGGGCGGGCTGGCCCTGGGCGAGCTGGGCCAGCAGGGGGGCGCGGGCTGGTCGTCGGCGAGAAATTGTTGTGTTAGGGAGCCCAAGAACAGCGACGACGTGGGTCGGCGGGTGCCGTGGCCAGGAGGGTGGCTAGGAGGGGGGCGCTGGCTGGTTGCTGGCGAGAAATTGTACGTGGGGGGGCTCCAAGAACAGAGGCTGCGGGTTTGGAGTGTCATGGCGTGGAAGGGGGGCCAGGAGCGCGGCGCGGGCTGGGTCTGGGCGAAAAATGTTAGGGTGGGCGGGCCTCAAGACTAGAGACTGTGGGTTGGGGTGTGCTGTGGCTAGGAAGGGGACCAGGAGGGTGGCGCGGGCTGGTTCTCGGCGAGAAATTGCAGGGCGGGTTGCCTCGAGGACAGAGACTGCGGGTTGGGGATTGCCGTGGCGAGGAGGGGGGGCAGGAGGGGGGCCAGGAGGGGGGCGTGGGCTTGTTCTGAACGGGAATTTGTAGGGCGAGGGGCCCCAAGACTAGATAGAGACTGCGGGTTGGGGTGCGCCGTGGCCAGGAAGGGGGCCAGGAGGGTGGCGTGGGATAGGTCTGAGTGACAAGTTGTAAGGCGGGTTGCCCCAAGAACAGAGACTGTGGGTCGGGTGGTGCCGAGGCCAGGAGGGGGGCCAGCGGCGGTGCCAGAAGGGGTGCGCTGGCTGGTTCAGGGCGAGAAAGTGGAGGGTGGGGTGCGCGAAGAACAGACTGTGGGTCGGGGTGTGCCGTGGCCAGGCGGGGGGCCAGGAGGGTGGCGTGGGTTGGTTCTGGGTGAGAAATTGTAGGGTGGGGTGCCCCTAGAATGGGGACTTTCGGTTTGGGAGTTCCGTGGCCAGGAGGGGAGCCAGGAGGGGGGCCAGGGGGGCGGCGAGGGCTGGTTCTGGGCGAGAAATTGTTTGGTGGCGTGCCCGAAGAACAGGGATTGCGAGTTCGAATGCGCCGTGACCAGGAGGGAGGCCAGGGTGGGTTGCCCCGAGAGCAAAGACTGCTGGTCGGGGCGTGCTGTGGCGGGGAGAAGTGCTAGGATGGGGGGCCGGGATGGGGGCCGCGACGAGGGCCAGAAGGGGGGCGCGGGCTTGTTCTGAACGGAAACTTGCAGGGCGAGGGGCCCCAAGACAAGAGACTGCGGGTTGAGGTGTGCCGCGGCAAGGAGGGGGGGGAGGAGGGCGTCGCGGGCTAGTTCTGAGCGAAAAATTGCAGGGTGGGTTGCCCCAAGAACAGAGGCTGCGTGTGGGTCGGGGCGTGCCGTGGCGAGGAGGGGGGCCGGGAGGGGGGCCAGGATGGGTGCCAGGAGGGGGCGCGGGCTGGTTCTGGGCGAGAAATTGCAGGGTGGGGTGCCCGAAGAACAGAGGCTGTCAGTTGGAGCGTGTCGTGGCCAGGAGGTGGGCCAGGAGAGGTGGGCGGGGGTGGGACCCCGCGTGAAAAATTGTAGGGCGAGCGGCTCCAAGTCTAGATGATGTGGGTTGGGGTGTGCCGTGGCCAGGGGGCGGGCCATGAGGGTGGCGCGGGCTGGTTCTCGTCGAGAAATTGCCCCAATAGCAGAGACTGCGGGTTGGGGGGGGGGGGGGGGGCGCGGCGAGGAGGGGTGCCGGGAAGGTGGTGCCGGGGAGGGGGGTGGGGGGAGGGGGGGGGCAGGAGGGGTGCGTGAACTGGTTCTGGGCGAGGAATTGCAGGGCGGTGCGCCCGGAGAACAGGGACTGTGGGTTCGGGTGTGCCGTAGCTAGGAGGGGGGCCAGGGGGGCCAGGAGGGGGGCGCGGGCGTGTTCTGGTGGAGAAATTGTACGGTGATGGGCCCCCAGACTAGAGACTCTGGGTTTGGGTGTGCTGTGGTCAGGAGGAGGGCCAGGAGGGCGTCGCGGGCTGGTTCTGGCAGAGAAATTGCAGGGCGGGGTGCCCCAAGAGCAGAGACTGCAATTCAGGCGCGCCGTGGCGAGGAGGGGGGCCAGGAGGAGGGCCATGAGAGGCCCGGAGGGGGGGCGTGGGCTGGTTCTCGGCGAGAAATTGTTTGTTGGGGCGCCCGAAGAACGGCGACTGTGGGTTCGGGCGTGCCGCGGCCAGGAGGGGGGCCAATGTGGGTTGCCCCGAGAACAGAGATTGTGGGTTGGTGTGCCGTGGCGAGGAGAGGGGCCAGGAGGTGGGCGCGGGCTGGTTCTGGGAGAGAAATCGCAGGGCGTGGTGCCCGAAGAACACAGACTGCGGGTCGGGGTGTGCCGTGGCGAGGAGGGGGGGCAGGAGGGGGGCGTGGAGCGTTTCTGGTCGAGAAATTTTACGGTGAGAGGCCCCAGAACTAGAGGCTGTGGTTTGGTGTGTGCCGTGGTCAGGTGGGGGGACAGGAGGGTGGCGTGGGCTGGTTCTGGGAGAGATTGCATGGTGGGTTGCCCCAAGAACAGAGACTGCGGGCTGGGGGTGTGCCGTAGCGAGGAGGAGGGCCAGGATGGGGGCCAGGAGGGGGGCGTGGGCAGGTTCTGGGCGAGAAATTGCAGGGTGGGGTGCCCGAAAAACAGAAGCTGCGGGCTGGGGTGTGCCACGGCCATGGGGCGAGCCAGGAGGGGGTCCAGAGGAGGGGTGCCAGGGGGGCGGGGGGCGCGGGATGGTTCCGGGTAAGAAGTTGTAGGGTGAGAGGCGCCAAGACTAGAGATTGTGGGGCAGGGTGTGTCGTGGCTGACTCCGGTAGAGAAATTGCAGGGTGGGTTGCCCCAAGAACAGAGACTGCTGTCGGGGCGTGCCGTGGCGATGAGGGGGGGCAGGAGGGGGGCCGGGAGGGGGGCGCAGGCTGGGCCTGGGCGAGAAAGTGTAGGGTTGGGTGCCCGAACAGAGACTGTGGGTTTTGGGTGCGCCGTGGCCAGTAGGGGGGCCAGGGTGGGTTGCCCCAAGCACAAAAATTGTATGTCAGGGCGTGCCGTGGGGAGGGGGGGGGCAGGAGGGGGCCCAGGATAGGGGGCCAGGAGGGGGCGTGGGCTGGTTCGGAGCGTGAAATTGTAGGGTGGGGTGCCCGAAGAACAGAGACTGTGGTTCGGGGTGCACCGTGGCCGTGAGGGGGGCCAGGCGGGTTGCCAGGAGGGAGGCGTGGGCTGGTTCTGGGCGAGAAATTGTAGGGTGAATGGGCCCCCAGATTAGAGATTGTGGGTTGGGGTGTGCCGTGGTAGGAGAAGGGCCAGGAGGGTGGCGTGGGCTGGTTCAGAGCGAGAGCGCCCCAAACAAATTTGCGGGTCGGGGTGTGCCGTGGCGAGGAGGGGGGCCGGGAGAAGGGGCTTGAAAAGGTGGCACGGGCTGTTTCTGGGCGAGAAATTGTAGGGTGGGGTGCCCGAAGAACAGAGACTGTGGGTTCGGGTGTGCCGTGGCCGGGAGGGGTGCCAGGAGGGGAGCTAGGAGAGGGGCATGGGCTGGTTCAGGGTGAGAAATTGTAGGATGAGGGCCCTAAGACTAGGGAGTGTGGGTTGAGGTGTGCCGTGGTCAGGAGGAGGGCCTTGGGGTGGACTGGGCTGGTTCGGAGCGAGAAGTTGGAAGGTGGGTTGCCCCAAGAACAGAGACTGTGGGCTGGGGGGCGCCGTGGCGAGGAGGGGGCCAGGAGGGGGGCTCGGAAAGGGGGGCCGGGCAGGTTCTGGACGAGAAATTGCAGGGTGGGTCGGGGCGTGCCGTGGCCAGGAGGGGGGCCTGGAGGGTGGCCTGGATGTGGTGCTTGGAGGGGGGGCGCTGGATCTGGGCGAGAAATTGCAGGATGAGGGCCCTAAGACTAGGGAGTGTGGGTTGAGGTGTGCCGTGGTCAGGAGGAAGGCCAGGAGGTTGCCCCAAGGACAAGGTTTGTGGGTTGGGGGGGTCCGCGGCGAGGGGGGCGCGGGCTGGTACTGGGCGAGAAATTGTAGGATGGGGTGCCCGAAGAACAGAGACTGCGGGTTGGGGTGTGCCGTGGGCAGGAGAGGGGCCAGGAGGGAGGCCGGGAGGGGGGCCAGGAGGCGGGCTGGTTCTGAGCGGAAGGCTTGTAGGGTGAGGGGCCCCAATGCTCGAGACTGTGGGTTGGGGTGTGCCGTGGTCAGGAGGCGGGCCAGGAGGGTGGCATGGGTGATTCTGATTCTGACAGAGAAATTGTAGGGTGGGCTGCCCGAAGAACAGAGACTGTGGGCTGGGGTGTGCCGTGGCGAGGAGTGGGGCCGGGAGGGGGGCCAGGGGGGGAACAGGAGGGGGGCGTGGGCTGGTTCTGGGCGAGAAATTGCAGGGCGGGATGCCCGAATAATAGAGACTGGGTTTGGGTGTGCCGTGGCCAGGAGGGGGGCCAGGAGGTTTGCCCCGTGACCAGAGACTGTGGGCTGGGGGGTGTCGTGGGTGTCGTGGCGAGGTGGGGTGCCAGGAAGGGGCTTGAGGGGCCGGCGTGGGCTGGTTCTTGGCGACAAATTTCAGGGTGTGGTGCCCGAAACACAGAGGCTGTGGATTGCGGTCTGTCGTGGTCAAGAGGGGGGGAAGCAGGAGGGCCAGGAGGGGGGCGTGGGCTGGTTTTTGATGAGAAATTGTAGGATGAGGGGCCCCAAAACTAGAGATTGTGGGTTGGGATGTGCCGTGGTCCAGAGGAGGGCCAGGAGGGTGGCGTGGGCTGGTTCTGGCCGAGAAATTGCAGGGTGCGGTGCCCCACAAGGGGGGCCAGGAGGGGAGCCCGAAAAACCGAGATTGGGTTGGGGTGTGCCGTGGTCAGGAGGAGGGCCAGCAGGTTGCCCCAAGAACAAGGTTTGTGGGTTGGGGGGTGCCGTGGCGACGAGGGGGGCCAGGAGGGTGGCCAGGAAGGGGGGCCAGGAGGGACCGTGGGCTGGTTCTGTGCGAGAAATTGCAGGGTGAGGTGCCCGAAGAACAGACACTGTGGGTTGGCACACGGCCAGGAGGGGGCAGGAGGGGGGCCAGGAGGGGCGCGGGCTGGTTCCCAGCGAGAAATTGTAGGGTGAGGGCCCGCAAGACTAGAAACCTTGGTTCGGGGTCTGCGGTGGTCAGGAGGAGGGCCAGAAGGGCGCCGTCAACGCGGGAGGAGAAGAAGGAGGCGGAGGAGGCAACAGGAGGAGGAGGAGGAGGAGGAGGAGGAGGAGGGGGAGGAGGAGGCGGAGGATGAGATGGAGGAGGAGGAGGAGGAGGAGGAGGAGGAGGAGGAGGAGGAGGAGGAGGAGGAGGAGGAGGAGGAGGAGCAGATGCACATGCACATGAGAGCAGGCAAGAGCAGCATAGCGCTTGCTGCAGACTTAAAGGCTGCTTTTTACACAGTGATCAGGCAAAGCCTATGCAATTTGCCTGCCGGGAGAGAGGATTTTGATCTCGCGCTAAGCAATTTGCCTGTCCATCCTGCCCTCTTGCATGCGGTGCAGCATCTTGCCCAGACACCTATCCTAGAGCAGTACTCCACCAGTGAGCATCTCAATGCACTTTGTTCGGCGGCCCTATCCTCGGGGTTTTGGGCGTGCAAGAACGCCAAAGGGTTCAAGAAACCCATGCTGGGCACCAAACCTGGGACGATCCTAGCGACCGATGCGTTCAATTGCGTGTTTTCCCCGATGATTCGGGACCTCCAGGCCAGGCTTAATGAAGAGGGGCTCACGTGGAAGCCAGAGTTGGAGCCAGGGGCCATTAGGTTTGCTCAAGAAACGGATTTAGACCAAGCGCATGATACCATCTCTGTTGTCGATGATCTCACTGTGCTCTGTGCCATCGACCAGGCGGCTGACACACGAGCTGCGCTCGTGAAGGCCACCGAACACTTGGCAGAAGTGACGTTCAACAGCGGATTGCGACTCAACCTGAGCAAGACCGCGGCACTTATTATTCCAGTGGGACCAGGCACCAAAAAGGCTCAGCAGGAGTTTTGGGGTCCCCAGGGCCGAGAAGTGTACATGCCTTCCCTCTGTGCGTCTGTTCAAGTGAAGCGAACTGTCAAGGCCCTGGGTACCATGGTAAACGATCGTCTCGACATGTCGGATGAGATAGCCTACAGGATAGCCTCGGTGGCCAGTGAGGTGCGGCCAATTCAGCGCACCCTTGGGCCTCGGAAGAAGCTCCGACTTGACCTCAAAGTCAGATATGCGGAGAGCTTCGCTCACACGGGGCTTTTTTACAATGCATCCATCTGGAGTCAGCTCAGCACACGGCTCGCCAAAAAAACTTCTCAATGCACAGATAAGGCCCTACAGGGCCGCCCTGGGACTGTCGATCAGCAATTCTGACGCGGGGCACATTGCGCACAATGACATTTTGTCACAAGCGCACAGGCTGGAGGCCAAAGATGTGCTTCGGGTGGCGCGCCTCAGGTACTTACCCAGGCTGCTGCGTCAGGCACCGCCAGCACTCAGAGTTGCCATTGAGTTTCTCTTTCAAGAAAACAGCGGCTGGCTGGTGCAAGTGGCAGACGATCTCCGATGGATGACTCCGCTTTGCCTCAAAGGGGAGCTGCGGCACCAGGCGTCCTTACTGCGCTGACTGACGGAGGCCAGGACGGAGCCGCGCACTTTCCTTCGACGAGTGGCCAAGGCGGCCGCCAGAGCGCAGCACAACTTTGAAGAAGATTATCGAGCGATTCAGCTTGACAGGCACATCCAGCTCATCCAGAATGAACGGCCCACTGCCAATGAAGTGCCAGAAAGCACTGTGACCCTGTTTGTTTGTTACGAATGTGGTTTCGCTACAGAGCAGATCAGGACTTATAACATGCACATGGCGAGGCAACACAAAAACAGGAGGGATCCGATGTGCTGGGCTGCGGGTACGGAGTGCCAGTGCTGCAGGAAACAATGGCATACCCCTAACCGCCTCCAGGTCCACTTAAGGAGGTCCCACAAGTGCAGGCTGGCTTGGGATCAGGCCGGGTGCAGGGCTGGGGAGGAGGAGATGCAAACTTGGAGGGGCGCTGGGAGGGAGGTGCAGAAGAAGAATCGCAGCAAAGGTAAGAGTGACAATTGGGCGGAGTTCCCCCCCGTGCAGCTCTTTGGACCCTCGTTCTGTAGAGAGGCTCATTTTGGGCCTCTGGAACCCCCCTGCCTCCCTCCCACTGTGAGCGTCCGCATCCTGAGACCTCGGCAGAAACAAACCCCCATTGATCCAGGACCTAGCAAGGAAGGGTTGGAGCCAAGGTCAATCTTCTTGTGCTTGTACACGGGAAACAGGCACGACGGTGACTTTATTGATTCACTTGAACGAGAATTGGCGGACAGTGGAAAAGGGCCAGCATCCTCACCTTAGGGGATCAAGAAGGGTGGGGACAGCTTGCGCTGCCACACGTGCTACGCTTTTGGGCCCAGTTCATCCAGGACGGTTTTGTGGGGGGGCTTTGGGCTGAGCCCCCCAGAGGCACCTGGCAGGCTAAGGGGGCCCATGCGCGTCTGCCGCGCGACCCCAGCTCTCCTTGGGGAAGGAGAGCCCTCCGTGAGGTCGAGTTCACTCCCGTACGGGAGGATAATCGTGCTCTGAGGGCGGTGCTCTGGTTGACGCACGTCTGTCGTGGCGCGCAAGTTCCATTTGGCATTCTGCATGCCCCGTGGGCCAACGAAGCCTCACAACCCACCATTTGGGGACTCAAAGAGGTGAGCATGCTTGAGGGTTGCAGAGTGGATTGTGACGGAAGTAGCATTCTCCTGTCTGGTGTGCATGCTTCTATCCCTCTGGTGTCCACTCTCACGCCTCTTGCTTGCGTGGCCCAGCAATTCGCCGCTCTCATCCACTCATCGAGTCACCATGACCTAGCACCTGAGCTCACAGAGCTGGAGCTCAAGCTGGACCCTTATGGTTTGGAACCTCTGGGGGGTGAGGGAGATGAGGGACACGACCTGCCAGCTTAGGTTGTGGTGCGGCCAGTTTTTTAAATCCCCTTTACTGCCTCTGCTTGCTGCCCTCTCTCTACTTAATCCACTGTGATAGGCTGCGTGACTCAGAGGCCTTCATCGACCGACCGACCGACCGACCGAGGAGGAGGAGGAGGAGGAGGAGGAGGTAATGGAGGAGGAGGTGGAGGAAGAGGAGGAGGAGGAGGAGGAGGAGGAGGAGGAGGAGGAGGAGGAGGAGGAGGAGGATAAGGAGGAGGAGGAGGAGGGTGAGGAGGAGGAGGAGGAGGATGAGGGGGGGAGGGGGAGGAGGAGGGAAGTGACAGAGGAAGGGGGTGCAGCCTGTAACTCGTCGCGCTTTAAGGTGAAATCCCTTTTGGGTAAATTTTGACCCCCGGATCACATTGTCGAACGCTGAATCATAATTGAAGCAAATTTTGTCTTTGTAGCTGAACTGGTCTCTACGACCACGATTTGCTGAATGTTCCACTCATGCTTCAAGCCGTGCTAGAACTGCAAGGCCAATGTCGGCCTGGAAGCTTTGATTTCGACTGCACACGATGTTGCGAAACGCGTGCGTACCCAAACAAACTCAAACAGACGAACTTCGTGTCGCTGGCACCAGGAATGAACACTCGGTCAGGAACTATTGCTTAGCGTTCGCGGCGGCGGCGGCCCCTGCAACACGTCATGCCCTGCGAGCTGGTAGCGTGTCGCCCCGCTCCGCGGGGCGGGAGGCCGGGGAAAACTCGGGACGATGTCGCCTTGGACTGGGACGTGATTAGCGTGTCGCGCCGAAGCGTGGCAGACCAGAACCCGCGGCGCGACATGCTAAGCCAAAGTTCATGACCGATGCCGCCGCTGCCCAGACCTCTCGCGGGAGGCCCCAAAAAGGCAGAAACGAGGGAACGGGCATCGGGTATTGGTACGTTCTTCTCCTTTATGGCACCTCGTCCCCTCGACAACGGGAGTGCACACTTCCTTGGCAGCGCAAGAAGCAGCTCACTCCACGCTCCGCCCCACCGCCCTGGAGTGGTCGCCCCCATGGCCGCGCGCCCGCGAGAAAAACCGAGACCGCGCGGCCGATCCACCCCTGATCCATTTTCATTCTGGGCCCTCGACCTGCCATCCGTGGATCAAGATCGATCGACGAACGCCGGGTCGGACGAAAGTAGGGGAACGACAAATTATATAAACATAAAAACTCGGAGGTCCGCGCGGATTTCTTGGATACGCGCTGGACTCCCCTCCCTGGCGCGCGGAGCGCGCCAGGTGCGCGCCAGGTGCGCGCCAGGTGCGCGCCAGGTGCGGCGCTGGAGGCGCCGCCAGGGGGCCCCAGCGCCGATCCGAGAAATCCGCGCGGACCTCCGAGTTTGTATGTGTATATCATCATTCGACCCCAGTCTGCGCAGATGGGGAGGAGGGGGAACACCTGGTGCTGCGGGGTCGCTCGCGCGCGCATGGCCCTCCGCAGCCCACGCCCTCCGCGCGTCGCGCGCGCGCGCGTACGCCGTCGCTTTCTCTCCGCCCGCGCGCCATTGGGGCTCAATGCCCAAGCAGCAGGACTGGGTCGCCAAGGTCTGGGCGCCTTGGGCGACGCCATGCTGCTTCCCTCCGGCGTCCCCGCCGGGGTCGGCTCCGCGGCGACGTCCGCTGTCACCCAGATGCTCGCCACGCCGCGGGACCGGGAGACGGCCGGCCTGGCGACGCTCGCCACGCCGCGGGACCGGGACCAAGCGCTGGTGACCCCTCGGCTGCGCGAGGAGGCTTCCGGGTCACCATGACGCAGGGAGCAGAAGTCGGGGGCAGCCAAGAGGGGGGTGATGACTGGGGGGTGTTGATATCAAGGCGGGGGCCATGATATCTCCCCAGATCTCACGGATATCCCCCCAACTGTCATGGCGCCTCTTCTTACTTCAATGCGTCCCTGGCACCCCCCCGGGCCGCGCACATGCCGCCGGCGATGATTTATGCCCCCCGCTCTTGGACGCCCCCTTCTTGGCCGCCCCCGAAGAAGCAGCATCAGTGCCACGCCTTGCGCACGGCCCCATTACAGTCAACCCGCATAGTAGGGATCGGCAACCTTCCCAAGGGTACCTTGCATCCTTGCCCCTTCGGCCCATCCTTAGCGACTTTCGCTGGCCAGCCTTGTTCGAAAAAAGTCCTTGCATCCTTGCCGCGCATCCTTAATTTTGATACGAGTTGACTGTAACCATTAGCGTGTAATTGTTGGAGATGTGCCAGCCTGTTGCGCACAGAGCGAGAGGGTATCGCGCACAGTTTCAAGGAAGATGCCCCTGTCACTGATACCTGTTTCAAGGGAGGAAAAACCACCCAGCCCCCGACAATTGGCGCTTACTAAACGGCCCTGGGCGTTTAACTAAACAGCCCTGCCCTGTTCGATTCCTTCCTTGGGGGCGTTTTCTAAGCGGCTTCGCTTGTCGGGGTGATTGTCATAGGGGGGGATGTCCTGCCCTCTGCTGTCACCCCTCCTGGCAACTCTCGCCATCGTCCCGCCCGTGAGGGTTCGCGCGTTTCTCTGCCTCTGGCTCGCCCACGAGCGACCGCCGCCCCACCCCACCCCGCAGGAAGCTCCTCCTTCGCCCGCCGCCGGAGAGGCACACCCGTGCGGCAGGTCTCCTGAGTGATCTCCCCCGACAGGGCTTCTTCAGTCCTCGAGCAGTGCTTGCACCTGGGAGGGGCACTGTATCTCTAGGCCTATATACTGGGGGCGGAGTACACTGGGTCCCAGAATGAGGATCGCGCCGCATCGCCGATGCATCGGCGACGCATCGGCGATACATCGGCGATGCATCGCCGATGTATCGGCGATGCGGCGCGATCCTCGGACCCCATCTGCTCGGACCCCATCAGCCAGGCCTCGATGCTCGCGCTGCGCAGGACTGGCCCTGCGGGGCGCGGTTGGGCTGATCGCGCGCGCCGCGGCACCGTTATGGCCCGTGCCACAGCCCGGTGTCCTGTGGTGGGGGCAGTCTGGCTGGCACCTTCTCTTCCCAGATAGGATCGCGAGGTTATATAATCAGGACGGATGGTTTTCGCGATTTTTCGGCCTCGGGGGGCCCTCGCCGGACTTCGGGAGCGTCAAAAGATGACTCAGGACGGAAAACGGGCCCCGGGGAAAGGGTCGGGACTTCCGAGGACGCCGCATTGAAAAAATCAGGACGTCGCATGTCTGGGTTTGGTTCCTTGTGGTTGGCCCTGTATGGTTGGTGGGTGCCCTGCTTTTGGCGCCCGCTGGGTGGCGCCCGGCCCTGGAAACGACAGGGCCGTTTTTTGTCACCGGTTTCGTTTTGCTGTTGTTGTTGCTAGTTCCGACGCCTTTTTGTTACTGGTTCCGTCGCCGTTCAATTTACCGGTTCCGGCTCCGGTTCCAATGCCGGAGCCGTTGGTCTGCCGTTTCTGGTCGTTTTTTTTGCTGCTTCCGTTTTCAAGAGACACTTTTTCAGAAACGGTGAAAAACGGCCCTGCCGTTTCCGGGGCCCATCCTCTGGTGGGCGCCCTCTCCTTGGTTCCCTACGGTCAGTACCCTTTGGTTGGCGCCCTGTGGTCGGTGCCCCACCACTTGTGTCATAGGGTACTCTATGGTTCATTTGTGGCCGCGGCCCTGTTGTTGGTTTCCACTACATAGTTTGTACATCGGGAGTGCTAACACGTACAGTTTGGGGCCCACGCGATGGCATCATCGGTATCATACGCGTCCCAGGCTCCTCCGACTATCCCACTCCAACAGCTGCCTCATCCGCCGACCCCTGGGTGTTTCACAGAGTAGCGATTCGCGCGCCCAAGCTCTGTCGGCAGGGGGCAGTTCTTACAAGGAAGCTTGACGGGGAGGAAGGGGCGGTAGAAAACTTCAGAGTAGCGGGAGGCGCCCAAGGCGGCCCGCGAGGGCCCCAAGACGGCCCCAAGATGGAGCCAAGAGGGTTAACACGAACCGAAAATCCGAGCCTTCCACCCCGAGAGGCTCTCAGGAGGCCCCGAGAAGCCCCCCCTAGGGGGCCGAAGAGTATCCAAGAGGCCTCCCTCCCACGAAGGCCTCGAGAGGCCAAAATCAATGTCTTGCCATAGGCCATAGGTTCTTGATTTCAGAGTTTTCAGCCTTTTGGCGTCCTGACGCTCCAAGACGGCCCAAAAGGCTTCCAAAACCAATCCAAGACAGCCCAAGAGGCCTCCAACAGGGCCCAAGACAGCCCGAGAGGGTACCAAGACGGCCCCGAGGGGTGGCCAAGAGGGGTAAGACGAACCGAAAGTCCGAGCCTTCCACCCCGAGAGGCTCTCAGGAAGCCCCCCAGAAGGCCGAAGAGGCCCCCAAGACCGCTCCCAGATAGCCGAAGAGGCCTCCAAGAGGGTCCCAAGAACGCCCCAAGAGAGCCCAAAGAAGGAGAACGCGAACCCAACAGCAGAGCCTTCCGCCCTAAGTGGCCAACAGGAGGCTCCAAGAGTCCCCAACTGGTCCGACGAGGCCCCCCAAAGCCCCCCACCAGGTCCCAAAAGGCTCCCAGGAGACGTACACGGGGCCCAAAGATAGCCGAACAGTGTTCTCGATGCATCAAAATTGCTTCAAGGAGGCCCCGGGAGGCTTCCGGATTGCCCCAATGCGGCCTCAAGCCGGGCTTCCACGCAGCCAAGACGGCCAACTGACTGCTTCAGATTGCAGACCATCACTTTTCGACTGCCCAGAGAACCCTGACGATGCCTCCAAGGGACCCCAAGGAGCCCCAAGACGCCCCCCGAGAAGCACCCGAGACGTGCCTCCAGCCGCCAATTGAGGAAGCACGGAGAGCCCCCAGAAGCCTTTCAGTCGCCCCCACGAAGACCAAAGACGTTCCTAAGAGACCCTCAGGAGGCACGACAATGTCACGCGCCTGTGCTTGATAGCGCTGTCCAAGATTTTCCAGCGCGCCCCCGGCCTGGGCTAGAACCTGAGCGCGCGCGAAGCGCGCGCGATGGTTCTAGTAAATTTGTCACGGGAAATGGGCTAGTCTTGGCGCCCTTGCGGGGGGGGGTCTCTTGGAGGGAGCAAGGGTGCTCTTATGGCTGTCTGGCAGCCACCACAGGGCGAGTGGATGCCATCTTGAATCGTCGAGGGACCTGGGTTAGCAATTTCGAAGTCGTCGGAGGCCGTCCATGAGTTTGCCTGAAACTGCCAGGGCCGCGGGTTGTAACCGGCACCGTTCGTACAGACCTCCTCTCCAAACCAGCCGGCAACAGTTTGACACTCCGTAGACCCTAATGGCAACGGGTAGGCGGATTCTACGATATTGGCGTTTCCTCCACCTTTTCTGTTGGTTCTTTCCTTTCAGCTTCTGCTCCTTTTCATCCCTCCCTCCGTCCCTTTCAGTTTCCTGCTTGCTGCCTCGCCCCCCACCCTTTCCTTGCGTCGTTTCCCCCGAACTCCTTCTGGTCCTCCGCCTCCTCGTCTTTTCCTCCCTCCCTCATGTCCCATGGCCTGAGCGCCCAAGTTTGGGCCCGCGACCCGACAGGCTTCGACTGCCCAGGTAAGCTTCCGCCCGACTCGACCCAGGTGCTTTTAAGCCAGGGCCGCCCGCCCGGCCAACCCGTCCCGAGGTCGAGCCCGCCCGCCCTGGCCGCACACGTTCGGACCCGCCCGCGCGCCCGCTGGAGCTTGGCGCCCCCCCGCAAGGTCAGAAGGAGGAGAACAAATGAGCGACGCAAAAAGAACGGGGTCGTCTGCGCATACATGTTTCGCGTAAATTGCCCGCGTATGGTCGCGCATGAGCGCCCCTCGCTTCCTGTGTGGCGTGCGGCGCTGGCGGCCTTCGTAAAGCCGCTGCGTAAGGTAACGATATCATCTCGCGTAAGACCTGTGCTATTTGTCGGTTAATTTGGCAATTTTGAGCGGCCAGTCGCGATAGCGATTGTTGTTGAATTTGAAGTCTCTGATCTTACAGGCTGTCGAGGGCCCTGACCGTGCTTTGGCCCTTGGAGGCCCAAGGGGACTTCCGAGGCCATCCATAGGTGGAGGGGGAGTTGGCTTCTTGGGGCTGCAGGGTGTCATTGGAAGGAGGGAGGGGGGGGACAAGGAGGACAAGCTTAATGAGGAACGCAACGACGGTAACGATGACTGGGAGGATAAGGAGGGCATGAAGTGAGGAGAAGAAGGATGAGGAGCAGCAGGAGCAGAAGCAGGACCAGGACCAAGACCAGAAAAGGCGGCGTGAAGAGGAGAGGGAGGAAGAAGACGACGAGGAATTTGACGACGATGAGGGAGGAGGACAAAGCAGGATGATTAGAAGTTTGCGCTGACAGGAGGAAGCGTAAGGACGTGGAAGTCGGTGTATGGCTCTGCCGCACCCCGAGGCTAACCACGCCAGCGGTACGATGCCTTCTAGATCCCAGACCCTGAACACCAAGTCCATAGGCCACTACGCCATCGGCTCAGCTGGCCCTGACCTGCCTGAAGCTTCCCCCACTTTCCTTCCCCTTCTTTTCCCTTCCAACTGTCCTTGACGTCCCCGGCCCCCTCCTCCTCCTTCCCTCCCTTGCCCCCATCCTTCTTCCGCCCTCCATCGTCTCTCATTCCCTCTACTTTTCCATCCGGGGCTCCTCCGACTATCCGTAAGGACTTCGCCTCCATGCTGCCGGCCCCCCTCTCTTACAATGGGACTTGCCAGAGCTGTGTTGGGATGTCTGGACGCTGACGTGAAGCAGTGTCGGAACTCCACGCGAGAGCAAATCTTGATGTACGAGGGTTTCTGGTTCCGGTGGCGCGAACATTCGGTAATGTACGATGGTTTATCTTCGGGGATGCGAGTATGGCATAAGTCAAGGGTTTGTGGCCTCGGTGACGCACATTTTGCGTACTTTACGAAGGTTTATTGTGTTGGGGGCGCAAATACTGTGTCATTTCAAAAAGGGTATACTTCTGGCTTCGGGGACACGAATATAGTGTACTCTGCGATGGTTTACGCCCTCGGAGGCGCGAATTTTGCTAAATGTGCGCGAAAGTTAATTGCTTCGGGACGCGAATATTGGGTAAGTTAAATGAGATTATGGTTTCGGGGACGCGAATATTGTTCAATTTGCGCAGGTTTATGGCCCTGGCCCTGGGGATACGAATCTGGCGTTATTAACTTGGGATTCTGGCCTCGGGGACGCGAGCATCATGTATCTTAACGTGTCCCACGCCCCCCCCCTCCCAGGAATTCAGACAACGCGATCTGAGCGTGGTGAGACAGCTGGTTTGGGGCCCCCCCCCTCGCGCGCTCAGCAGCAATTTCCAATAAAGAAGCAGAAAGCAGGATTGTGACAGTGGAAAATGGAAACTGCAACTAGAACAGAGAGCGGCAATCCTCACCCTTGCAGCCTGGTGGCTCCGCAGGGGGGCCGGCGGATACCCCTAGAGATTTTCGTCGTCTCGCCACCTCCAGAAGAGGGGAGTCGTGCCGACACCTCATAAACGGGTAATGTGGAGGATAAGGAGCATAAGAAAGAGCGATACGATGCGCAGGAGAAGAAAGAGTATGAGGAGGAGGAGGAGGACCAGTGTAAAACCAAGAGTCAAAACAGATGTTGGAATTGACCCTCTCTGCAAGCTCCCTCTTCATAGGCCCCCACAAAGGTTCATTTCCATTGAGGAAACTGACCCGTTGGAAGACAACCGTTTGAAGATCCTGGCGCATGCCAAAACATTGCTCTCGGGATTTCAACGCCACGTATCAACCTGACTGCTGCGTCTTGATGATCCGGAGTCGTGCCAGGTCGCCATTTTTTGGAGTTCAACACCGCGAACCAACATAACCATTGCACCCGCATAATCCAGAATCCTTCCCAAACACCATTTCCGGTACGATGGGAATCCGTGAAACTCTTGCAAATGTCCAAAACGAATGTACGCGTCGCTAAGGCGAGAGCAACATTTTGAAACGACCCGCCCTCAATCCGTGAAACCCTTGCAATGTTTTTTAAAAATGTGCGCGGCGCCAACGCGAAAGCCACATTTTGAAAAGGAACCGCCATCAATCCGTGAAGCCCTTGCAATTTTTTGAAAACGAATGCGCGCGGCGTTAAGGCGAAAGCCACATGTTGAAAACCACCCGCCCCCCATCTGTGAAATTGCTGTCACTTATTAAGCTTCAGAGTCATTAGTGGTGAAGAAGTACCACGTGAAACGCCCTGCCCGCCCTAAAAACTGGCCACGGGGTGCGACAGGGAGGAATTATCTATAAGGAGAAGGAATGGAGGAGGCGGGAGATGGTGTGGAGTAGGGAAGTAGAGCGAAGAGAAGGAGGAGTGAGGAGCTCAATTGAACGGAAGGCATTTGCTTCGCATGGCCAACACGCTATTTATGAATACTCGAAGATTGCCTGTCTGTCCACAAATCAGCGCGTCTCCTGGCCCATGTGAGTGCTTGTCAAAGATGCGACCTCGGCACGCGTTTGCCCGGACACGTGGGCAATTATTGTCGCTCTTGTCATCATCTCTCAGCTGTCGCGAGGCCGTCGTGGAGCTCCATGAGGTCTTCTTGGGTTCTCGGGAATCTTTTCTTTCGGCCCTCTTGGAGCCAGTGGTGGACCGGTTATGCTCGTCTCGGAGTCCTGTTGGGCTTTATTCGGTTCCTCGTTTGCAAACCGTAGCGTATATCGGCCCCCGAGGCCAATGTGAAGGAGGAATGGTGAGAAAGCAGACATAATGTTATTCAAGGGTGCTTGTACGATCCTTAGGTTAGGCCTCTCGGGGACATCTTTGGAAATCTCCAAAGCAAACTTAGATCCGCCTTGCGACCCTCAATGAGGGATGCCAGAAGCTTGGTGGGCACACGTTCCCCAGTCCTGGCATGGTCTAGTCTTCCATCACACCTCTCGGCAAGCGCAGCGGCGCGGCGCGTCAGCAACAGCTGCAGCATCGAGGACGCCAGGAGAGGAGGACCGAGGTCCTCGGGAAGACGCTCGGCGAGGGCACCTTCGGGAAGGTGAAGCTCGCAAGGCACATCCTCTCCGGGGAGCCCGTGGCCATCAAGGTGCTGGAGAAGGAGCGCATCACCGAAGCCGCGGACATCGAACGGACATGTGGGGCTGCCAGCGAATTACCGACACTATGGTTGGCCGGGCCCATCCCTGGGCGGCCATTGGTGTGTATAGGGGAACGCAGAATGACATGAACATAAAGACTCGGAGGTCCGCGCGGATTTCTCGGATCCGCGCTGGACCCCCTTTCCTGGCGCGCGGAGCGCGCCAGGGGCTGCGCTGGAGGCGCCGCAGGGGTGTCCAGCGCGGATCCGCGAAATCCGCGCGGACATCAGAGCTTTTATGTTTATGTCATCCTTCGTTCCCCTAATCCCTGGGCGATCATCGACGTGTGGACGCATTCGTACTGACACGGGCTCTACTCACAGCGTTACATCCCCCGAGGTCTGGAATTTTTACCGGGGGCCAGCTGCCCAGGTCAGTGTTTCTGATGGCCCCCGTGCGCGGCAAAGGGCTCCCAGGAGCCGGAAGTTGCCGAAAGCCTTCCGTCGCTGTTTCTGGGGACCACCTACCCAGCTCAGTTTTTGATGGCCCTTGTGCCAAGCAGTGGCGTCCAGTCCCACCGAAGATTGTTCTAAGAACCCTTTGTTGTCTGTACGGAATGTTCGCACAACCTTTCATGATTAGACTGTCTTGTTAGAACACATCGGGCTCATGTTCTAAGAACATTGTATTCGTTATTCGAACATGTCGGGGTTCTAAGAACCTGTCGGGCTAGGCCGTTTTAGGAATGCCAGGATTCCCTGCTCAATGTTTGATGGCCCCCGTGCGCGGCCAAGGGCTCCCCTGGGCGGAACATTTCCCAAACAGCTCTCCGTGGTTGTGTTTTCTTTTTCCCGCGGAACGCCAGGGCGCCAGCGGAGGTCACCAACAGGGGCGCGAAGAGCTCCTCGCTTCTCGTGCCCCGCGGTCGGGGATCTTCGTCATTGTCGTCGTCGTCGTTGTCGTTGTCGTCGTCGTCGGACGGTCCGTCCTTCCCGTTTTCGTCGTCGTCGTCGTCGTCGTCGTCGTCGTCGTCGTCATCTGCGTCGTCGTCGTCGACGGCCTGCACGGGCGGCACCTGCGCGTGGCGCGAGGGGCCCGAGCTGTGGGCTCGCTTGGCACGCCCTCGCGCTGCGTGCCGCGCGGAGATCGGCGGGCCTGGCGTTCTGCTCAGGCCAGCGGCCAAGAAACTACAGTTCAGTCGGGCGTGTCCCTCTGCAGGGGGAGTATGCAGAAATAGTCGAAAAACCAGCCTGGGGACGATTTTTCGATTATTGTTTGACCATTGTGGGGGAATTCTTGGACTACTTTTGGTTTTTCGTCCAAGATCCGCCTGTAGGGGGACATGCCCGACCTAAAACTCCAGTCGAGCGTCTGATTGAGAGACCTCCTTCCAGGCAGCTGTGGCAGCTTGTCCACACCGGCTTGCCGGAAAGCTGGCCCAGCCTCTTGAGCAGGTTTGCCTTTCCAGCGTTAAGAACAGCAGTTGGCCCAGGCTTTGTCCAAGAAGCTTCCGGGAAGCTGGCCTTGATGTATTGAATGAGGAGTTTCTTGGTCACAGTTCCAGCTGTACATCCGACATTTATCACAAGAAATCCTGCTATAGGAAGTCACCCGTGCTCGACCCTCCCAAGGTGCCCCACAGCTGCGGTGTGCCCTTGGATCCCTAGCTTCTGCGGGGCCTCTGCTGGCAGGCTGGTTTCTTATCTGATGCCCATCCGAGGCTCGTGGGGGGTATGGGCAGATTTCGGGGGTGTCGACCAGCGTCGTGAGTGTTGCCACGACGCGGATCACCCAAAATCTGGACCCCGTCCCCAAGATCAGCCTTTCTCCGCGGATGTCTGCGTTGATGTTCCAGCCGGAACAGGCTGGCGGTTACCGTAATTCGGAAAGACGTGTGTCGTGGGTTCGTTCTTGACTCTTGCTGGTCTAGTGTCTGGACATGCCGCCCTCTCAGGATCTCCCGGGAGGTGCACATCCTGAAGCTCATCAAGCACACGCACGTTGTGCAGCTGTACGAGATCATTGAGACTTCGGGGCAGTTGTACCTCATCATGGAGTACGCAAGCGGCGGGGAGCTATTCGAGTACCTGTCCCTGCTCCCTCACCCTCGTCCAGTTATTGACGTTTCATCTGAAAAAAGTGCTGTTCAGACTCTGGGCCGCCCCCAATTCTGTGGGTTCCTCCTCCTCCTCCTCCTCCTCCTCCTCCTCCTCATCCTCCTCCTCATCCTCTTCCTCCTCTGGACCTCTGGATGGTGGCGGTTCTTGTGCATAAGATTGATGCCATCGTCCTCCTCCTCCTCTTCCTCCTCCTCGTCCGCCTCCTCCTCCTCCTCCCTCCCCTCATCCTCTGCCTCCTCCTCCTCCTCCTCCTCCTCCTCCTCCTCCCCTCCTCCTCCTCCTCCTCCTCCCCCGCAGCTCCTCCTGCCTCCCCTCGTCCACTTCCTCCTCCTCTTCCTTCTTCTGGACCCCGAGAAACCCCCGAGCGAGCTGCCAGAGAGCCCCGAGACGGCTCCAGGAGGGGCCCAAGATGGCCCCAAGAGAAGCCCAGGAATTATGTACCAGCGGGCCTTCGGTTGGTACATAACTCCTGGGTCCCTCTTGGGGCCATCTTGGGCCCCTCGTGGAGCCGTCCTGGTGCCCTCTGGGGGCCCAGAGGGCCCTCGAGGGCCCTGAGAAGCACCCGAGAGGGCCCCCAGAGGGCCCGAAGACGGCTCCAGGAGCGGCCCAAGATGGCCCCAAGAGAAGCCCAGGAATTATGTACCAGCGGGCTCTCGGTTGGTACATAACTCCTGGGTCCCTCTTGGGGCCATCTTGGGCCCCTCGTGGAGCCGTCTTGGGGCCCTCTGGGGCCCAGAAGGGCCCTCGAGGGCCCTGAGAAGCACCCGAGAGGGCCCCCAGAGGGCCCCGAGACGGCTCCAGGAGCGGCCCAAGATGGCCCCAAGAGAAGCCCAGGAATTATGTACCAGCGGACCCTCGGTTGGTACATAATTACTGGGCCCCTCTTGGAGCCCTCTCGAGGCCTTCTTGGGCTCTGCCGGAGGGCCCTGGGAACAGCCCAGGAGGGCCCCGAGACGGCTTCAAGGGGGCCCCAATACGATCCCCAAACAGCCCCGAGATCGGTCACCCGGACGATTCCAAGAGGGCCCAGAGACGGCCCCAAGACGGCTCCAAGAGGTCGTCGTCACGTCGTAGTCGTCGTCGTCGTCGTCCTTCGTCGTCCTTCGTCCTTTGTCGTCGTCGTCGTCGTCGTCGTCGAATTCGATGTGTTTTTCCCGTGCGGCCCCCCTGAACGGGTAAAACAACTACGGTTTTTGCACATTGCGACCGAAAGCGCATGTCGCGCGCATTCACCGCCAACTCGCCGAGGCAAGGGCTCCAACGCAGAGATGTTGAAATTCCGATGGGTTTTTGACTCATCAGGGTAAGCCGCACGGGAAAAACACATGGGAAAGTTGCCGTCGTCGTCGTCGTCGTCGTCGTCGTCGTCGTCGTCGCGATGCCCCACGGGGGACACCGGGTAACGCCGATGTCCCACCGGGTAATTCATGCCCAGACCCCCCTTTGCAAGGTCGAGTTGCCCGATGTCCCCTGGGGACCACCGGGTAACTCCGATGTCCTACGACCCGATGTCCCACGGGGACCACTGGGTAACTCCGATGTCCCACGGGGGACACACACCGGGTAACTCCGATGTCCCACGGGCCGATGTCCCACGGGGACCACCGGGTGACTCCGATCTCCCACGGGGGACCACCGGGCAACTCATATCCAGACCCCCCCTCTGCAGGGTCGAGTTACCCGATGTCCCACGGGGACCACCGGGTAACTCCGATGTCTCGCGCGGGACACCGAATCACGCGGGCAATATTTATATCCATATCCAGGGCGTCTTGGACTTTCATGGAAGGGGCGCCGCAAGGCCGAGGCACACTGGATATGGATAAATTTCGAGCCTCTAGTAGGGGCTTGATTTTTATCCATATCCAGTGCTCCTCGGCTTTCTGGGGAAGGGAGCCCGACACCCCAACCTGCAGTGGATATGGACACAAGTTTTGCCCGCAAATCGTGCCGAATGGGCCCCAGCAAGGTCGACTTACCCGATGCCCTTCGGGGGACACCGGGTAAGCGGGGGGCCTGGAGCGCACCCCCCGCTTACCCGATGTCTCCCGGGGGATACCGGGTAACTCATGCCCGACACCCCCCCGGGCATGGTCGAGTTACCCGATGCCCCTGCCCCCAACATCCCCCCCTGCACGGTCGAGTTACCCGATGTCCCCCCGGGGACACCGGGAAAGTGGGGTGTGTGGAGCGCACCCCCCAGTTACCCGATGCTCCCAAGGGGGGGCGCCAAGTAACTCATGCCCGTCGACGTCGTCGCCAGTCGCCGGTCGTCGGTCGTGAGCCGGAAGAAAAATTGAGGCTTCGGATCCGTTTTGGGGCCCCCCAAGGCTCCAAGGGCTCCAGAACCCGGGGGAAAAGCAGTAGCAAAACTTACCACTCCAGGTGGTCGAGCCCATGAAGTGCTCAGACCGGCGTTTCCATATTATCCTCCTCATCAGATTCCTCATCATCTCCCACGTCGTCATCACCACTACCATTATCACCATCATCGTCGTCAACATCATCAGGTCCCTGGAGCCCTCAGTCCTGAGGTCCCTGGAGCCCTCAGTCCTGTGTACTAGTTTTATTTCAGGGGTCGACCCCCCCAAGTTGGCCCCAGGATGCCCCAGGTTGGCCCCAAGAGGGCCCAAACCGTCTCCAGACAAACTGGACATGGATGTCCAAATTGTCCGGGCGCCGTGGGACTTTTCAAGGTGCCGCCCGATGCGCCGCCCAGAGGAAATCGATAGCCCCCCGCCGAAGGTTCAAGAACCGGCGGCCAAGACAATTTGACATGGATGTCCAAATTGTGAAGGCTCCAAGAGGGCCCAAGACAGCCCCAGCCCCCGCCGACGACGACGACGTCGACGACGACGGCGACGACAACGACGGCGGCGACGACGACGCCGCCGCCGCCGCCGCCGTCGTCGTCGTGGTCGTCGTCGTCGTCGTCGGCGTCGTCGTCGTCGTCGTCGTCCTCGTCCTCGTCCTCGTCCTCGTCGTCGTCGTCGTCGTCGGCGGCGGCGTCGTCGGCGGCGGCGTCGTCGTTGTCGTCGTGGCCGCCGCCGCCGCCGCCGTCGTCGCCGCCGCCGCTCCCCAGGCGGTGCGCACCTGCAGTTGTGGGAGATGGATGGGGGATCGACAGTCTGAAAGGCTGAGTTTCCTCCACGACGACGACGAGGAGCAAAATCGGCTCAAAATCATTCTCGGTTCCTGACCGTCCCCGAGCCCGCAAACAGCATCCACAGGCCGAACATCATGAAAAGCCTCATCGAAACTCGAACCTCGACTCTCAAACGACGACGACGACGACGACGACGGACGACGACGACGACGATGAAATCGACGGCGGTTGCAGCGGTGGCGGCGGCGGCGGCAGCGGCGGCGGCGGCGGCCACGACGACGACGACGACGACGACGACAACGACGACGACGACAACGACGACGACGACGACGACGACGACGGCGACCGACGACGACGACGACGGACGACGACGATGACGACGACGACGACGTCGACGACGACGGCGACGGCTGCGGCGGCGGCCACGCCGACGACGACGACGACGACGATGACAACGACGACGACGGACGACGACGACGACGACGACGACGACGACGACGACGACGACGACGACGACGGCGACGACGGTGGTGGCGGCGGCGGCCTCGGACGAGGGGGATGAGGAGGATGAGCAGAGGGAGGGGAGGAGGATGAGTGGATGGAGGAGGAGGCAGCGGGAGAGGAGGATGGAGAGGAGAATGAGAGGAGGGAGCTGCAGGAGGAGGAGGAAGAGGAGGAGGCAGAGGAGGAAGAGGAGGAGGAGGAGGAGGAGAAGAGGGGGAGGGAGGACACCCCAGAGTCTGGGGGCGGCCCAGAGTCTGAACAGCACTTTTTTCAGATTTCGCGTATCCTCACCAGCCCTTCCGCCAACGATGCCCAGAAACATTGCATTGATCAGGAAAGAGTGGGAGCACGCAGTGGAGCAATGAGGAGGGGCAGCCGCCAAACCGAAGATCGAAGTCAGCCTTGTCAGGCGCAGGAGTCAGCCAGAGATGCCTGATCTTTCGGCATGGGAGGCTCTCGTCCGTTCACTTGGGACCTCCTGGGGCCAGCTTGGAGAACGGCGAGGCCCTCTTGGGGCCATGCTGAGGGCTTTGGGACCTTCCTTACGGCTATCTTGGAAGCCTCTGGCTGCGCTTTGGGGACGCGCAAGGGGGGGCCAACGCAGATCCAAGAAATCTTCGCGGAGCGCCAATGATTCATGTTACTGCTTGCGTGTTTTCTTCTATGGACATCGGAGGGACCACCTCACCGGTCCCTGCCAGGCTCTTCCTGGGCCCAGGATCCGTGTGTGCTCCCGGGGCGTCTAATTCCGCCGATTACGCCCAGCCGCGTTCCCAGCAGCATCCCCTTCTCCCTGCATCCTTCTCAGGTGCCTCCTCCTCCACTTCCGCCTTGCGCGTCACAGACATCCTCCGATATGGCGTGCTTCAGTCCGCGAACGCAGCGTCTGGACCCACTTGCCCAGGAGGGGCATTTCGTCCGGATCCGCTTTCGATTGTTCCAGGGCCCGAGCGCGGCTCCTCAGATCCGACATGAGAAGCAAAAACCAGCGATTAAAAACACACACACACACATCGTTGGAGCTCCCGTGTCCTCTCATCCTCCCCCCCCCGTCCTCTTTTGGTTGGTATCCTCCTCCTTCCCCCGTCCCCCCCCCCGTCAAGTTACATCGTGGCCAGGCAGGACGAGCGCAGGAAGTCGGGGGGGTCTGGTGGCGTAGAGGAGCGCGAGGCGTGCCGCTTCTTCCACCAGATCGTGGCAGGCCTGGGGCCCTCTCGCCATCCTTGCTTTTCTTCCTGCCCCTTCTCGGAGGAGGAGAGGGTCCCCATACACCACTACCCTTCCCTCCTCCTCCTCCTCCTGCTCCTCCTCCTCCTCCTCCTTCCCCCACTCGGCTGCAGCCAGCACTGTGCAGGGCGGGGTGCTTGGGACGCTCCTCGCTCCTCAAACTGAGGACGGGGAAACGACTCGCGACCGAGGCTCACCGTGGCCAGAGGAGCACGTTCGTTTCCTCTTCGGCGCTCCGCTCCTCCTGGCAGCACGAGGACCCAGAGGAGGAAAAGGTACCCACACCCGTACCCCTCTCTCGTTTCCCCCTCTCCCTGGTCGCGACGGCTGGAACTCGCCTCAATATATAAATTCGGATCCGAGCGCGCCCTGGGCAGGGTCCGCGGAGCAGCGGTATCTGTGCCTTGTGGTGCCCCTTTTCTCCCCATTCGCGTCAGGCACCCGTGCGAGTCCCGCCGTCATCGCCAGTAAGGGTTACGCGCGCGCGAGTTTTCTTCGACAGTCTGTGGCGGAGTATAACCGCAGGCAGGTCCAGGGGCAAGCCCAGGGGGGAGCTCCCCAGGGCCAAAGAGTTTGACGACCTCTCGCCGATCGACTTGTGGGGAACAAGCCGGATACATCAAGGTAAACGTTCGTACATCGATGTGGGTATGGGCAAGTCGAGACAACTCCAGAAACATCCACAGCTCTCCAATGAAACGTTGAGCAAGTCGTGGCCTCTCCAGCGCGAGTCGAGGGACGGCAGAAGTCGTTGAGCCTTCAACGAGGTGTGGGGCTGCGTGGAGGAAGTACCGAAACAGGGTATCGGACGATAATGTTTTAATGTTTTATCGCTAGAGGGCTATACAAAAGGTGAACCAAAAACCCCAGAAGGGTCCCAAAGGGGGAACGGGGCGCCCGAGGACGTTTTGTCGGGCGTTTCGCTTGAGATTTCCTGACAAATTATTCAGGGCCCGCGCAATCGCCTCAATGCCGGGTACATGCTTGGCCTGGATTGCCACCATCCGTTCAAGAGAAAAGACGCTAAGGCGCACAGTGCACAGTGCCGTGCTCTCACCCCATGGCCACCTCCTGCACTTCGACCCACCTGTTCGCTTTTGCTGTCGTTAAGATGCGCTGCCTGGGCAGTTGTTTCTCGATGTTCCTTCCCTCGGGGCCCGCCTTCGGACCATCAAACGCGGAACCAGAGGACGCAAGATTGTCACTGGGCGATGGGTCAGGAGTGCTGTGGCTGCGGAGGGGACAAGATTGATTCGGTGGAGGTCTGGGAGAAGGCCACCCCAGATCTCCGACGTGCTGGACGGAGACAGTCCCCAGATCCTGCGCCGCTTTCTGCCCCCGGGGAGGGAGCCGGCACCGTCACAGAAGCGCCACGAGGATGAGAGGTGGGCCTCCGGGGAGCGCAGACCGTCGGCCACACGGGGAACAAAACAGGCCGTCGGAGACCTGGGGCTTCCTGAGGGCCGAGGATCGAGGAGGAGAGGAAGTCGAGGTTCGAGGAGGGAGGCCCTCACGCGTGGGCGGGAAAGTCGCCAGGGTGGGGCGAGTTTTCTCGACTCTCGACCCGGCCCTCCTCCGAAGAAGTGCGGCTGGAGGCGGGGCCCAGACTTCCACGACGATACATATATATATATATATATACACGCATACATATATATATATATATATATATATATATATTTATATATATATGTAAATATGCATATGTATATGTATTCGTTAATGAGTTGATTGGTTAATTAATTAGCTCATTCATTAATCGATTATATTGCGAAGGCCTTGCGGACGGTACCGCCGACCCTGAAGGGGAACGACGACGACGGTGGCGGCGGCGGCGACGCTGACGTGTGTCAGGGTCCTCCAGGATAACTACTTCTTGGGGTCTCTTCGGAGCGCTCTGGGGGGGCGCAGCCCTGGTGCCTCTGGGGGGCCTGGGCTCCCACGACGAAGCCTCGTCTCTGTCCCCCAGGCGCTGGCATCCGGGGGTTCACAGAAAACCCTGGGCCTCGAGAGTGCACCCCGGGCGCGGCGCGCTGCGGGTAGAGATTGGCCCATAGGACGGCGCCAAGATGGTGTCCCGCGCCCTGCGGGAGCGTTCCAGAGCCGAGGCGTGCCGGGGACGGCGCCAAGATGGTGGCCCGCGCCCTGCGGGAGCGTTCCAGAGCCGAGGCGGCGCAAACATGGATCGAAGAGTGCGGATTGGCGTCCCGCTTCCGTGCCAGATCGGCGCGCGCCGTCGTCATATGAGGTGGCGCTTGCTTCGTGTGTCGGGGAGGTGGGTCTGTGGATATCACGGACGGGGCGACGAAGACTCAGATGTCGTGGCCATCAAGCTTAGGTCGGCCGTGTTCTCCTACAGGCCGAGACCACCCCCTGCACACCCCCTATGGTGTCGAGAAGCGCCTGCTTTGCCCTGGACGACCAGCGCGGATGACCGGCGCGGATAGGGAAGCCACTCCTTGCGCACCCCCTATGGTATCGAGAAAGTGCCACGCCTGCGATGCCCTGGACGACCGGCGCGGATAGGGAGACCACCCCCTTCGCACCCCCTATGGTATCGAGAAAGTACAACGCCTGCTATGCCCTGGACGACCAGCCAGATAGGGAGACCGCCCCTGCGCACCCCCTATGGTGTCGAGAAAGTGCCACGCCTGCTCTGCGCTGGACGACCGGCGCAGATAGGGAAACCACTCCTTAAGCACCCGCATGTTATCGGGAAAGCGCCACGCCTGCTATGCCCTGGACGACCGGCGCGGATAGGGAGACCATCCCCTGCGCACCTCTTATGGTATCGCGAAAGTGCCACGCCTGCTATGCCTAGACGACCGGCGCGGATAGGGAGACCACCCCCTTCGCACCCCGTATGGTGTTCAGGAAGCGCCACGCCTGCCATTGCCCAGACGACCCGCGAGGAGAGGGAGACCAGCCAGCCCTTGCGCACCCCGTATGGTGTCGAGAAAGTGCCACGCCTGCTCTGCGCTGGACGACCGGCGCGGATAGGGAAACCACTCCCTGCGCACCCCCTATGGTATCGAGAAAGCGCCACGCTTGCTATGCCCTGGACGACCGGCGCGGATATGGAGACCATCCCCTGCGCACCTCTTATGGTATCGAGAGAGTGCCACGCCTGCTATGCCTGGACGACTGGGGCGTGCTGTGCTGTGCTCTGCTGAGCTGTGCTGTGCCACGCCTGCTACGTTTTGCGAGCCCGCAAGGGAGGATAAGGAGACGAGTGCGACGCGGGAAGGAAGAAAACCATAACCCCACGAAACATGTGGGGAATAATCGATGGTCCCCGCACTATTTTTTCCAATGTTTCTTGAATACTCCTCCTGTAGAGGGACATGCACGACTTAACATTACGCCTTGTTTGCTCTGTCCCCGGGCCCCCTCGTCCGCGCACGCGCGGGCCATGACGCGCACCCCCCGATCCCCCGTCTGGCTGGCCCCCCTCTTCGGCGCACCCGCGCGTCGTGAAGCCGGTTGAGACGCATGGCAGAGGTCCAGGGAGCACCCTTCTTTTTCGATCGTCCCGAAACCGGTCGGGTGTTGCTAGAAGTGCCGCTGGCCCAAGGTGCCCCGCCAGGATTCCCTGAGAGGCCCCCACGGCCTCCAGCTTACACCCCTCACGAGGCCCGGAAGGACCCAGGGGCTCCAGAAGGGAGCAAAGAGCGACGGGCTCTTTGGGCCAGGGGCACCAATCAGCAGCCTCCGAAGCCAGCGCGGCGGAAGGCTTTCGGCAGTGTGCGGCGTCATGATGGGGGCCTTTTTCCAGGCTCTGGGCCGTCCCAAGCGACTCGGGGTGAAGAGCCAGTTGCTGGTCGGGGGGGTCCAGACCAGTGGGGAGCCACGTTGTGACCCAGACGTGATCGCGTCGTGAACAAAAATCAGGGCACGAGGTTTCAGGTCGATTTCGGCCCTGCGAGCCCTCGCCGGTCCTCGGGACCGTCAACAAAATACTCAGGATGAAAAGCAGGCCCCAGGGAAAGGGTCGGGACTTCCGAGGACGCCGCATGTCTGGGGACAGAACCCGACGTTGGATGTCTGGGGAGCAAGGTGGGAAGGGGTAGGAAGAGGAGGCCTCTATTCGATCGCCCCTCCATCGATCTCGCGCCCATATTGTCCGTTGCCCCCTCAACAATGAGGACGACGACGAAGACGGCCATGGCGATGAAAAAGCCCCTGGAGTGCCTCTCGAGTGCTCGGCCCTCGTGCCAGGCGGCCGCACCCATGTGTACCCAGCACGCGCTCTCCATCTGTGATGCACTCCGCATGTAGACCCGGCCACGTGTGCTTCCAGCCTCCTCATGGTTTCCGGCGGCGGCGACGAGGACGACGAACGACGGGCGACGGCTGACGGCTTCTTCAGGCGACCACAGCGACGACGGCCTTCAGAGGACTCTGGAGGCACCCAAAGGTTCCCGAGGCCTCTGGAGGCCCAGCAGTGGCCAAAAGCGGACAGAGACATCCAGAAGCATCGGACTTCGGTCCTTGGCCCTCGGCTCTGGATCGTCGGCGACAGCGGCGACTACGACGGCGGCGACGGCGACGGCTGCGACGGCCACGGCCCTCCTCCTACTCCTCCTCTCCTTCTCCTCCTCCTCCTCATCCTGCTCTCTTGGGCCCCCGCTCGCCCGTACGTGCTCGGACTGGGGGCTCGTGCTGATGCAGGGTATGTATGGCACCATCTTGTCCTCCCCCTCCTCCTCCTCCAGTGAGAGAGACGGTCGGAGATTTTCGAGTGTTTTGGGAGATCCTCCGTGGCGGCGGCGGCGACGACGCTGGGCGACGGGCGACGACGACGGCGCGTGACGACGACGACGATGACGGCGGTGGCGGCGGCGGCGACGACGACGACGACGCGACGACGACGACGACGTCGACGTCGACGACGGCGGCGGCGACGACACGACGACGACGACGACGCAGACGGCCGGCGGCGCCCGAGGGGTTGAGAAGATCCACGCGATGGGCGTGGCGCATCGCGACCTGAAGCCGGAGAACCTGTTGCTGGATCGTCGGGTCCAGGGTTGCGCGGGCTCGATCCGCTGGGCGGCGCGGTCCGCACGGTCCGTCGACTGGAGAAGGTCAGAGGAACCGCAATGGATACGGAGAGAATGTGTACAAAGGCCAACAGCAGTTCTCGCGAATTCGGATCAGGATTCGCTGTCTGCGTCGCCGCGGTCGTTGTC